GCTCATTCATGTTTGGAGCTCTTACACGTTTGCCTGTGTCACCCTTTAAGCTGCATTTTATTGTGATATTAATCTGAAAGGAAACAATTTACCTGGTGAAGAAAAATGATGAAATGATATTTACACTGGAGAGGCGCCTTTATTACAATGTAAACATCAAGGTGGACCCTTAATTTTTTCTCATCCCCATCAAAGCAATTTATAATAACAGCTATAAACTACGCTATTATAATGCAGTTAAAGTGAATGACTTTTATTCCAGTTGGAGCAACTGTAATTTAATCATGGTAGAGTAATTGTCAACAAACTGCCATCTGATTGAAATCTTGTTATCAACTGAATCTCTACCTTAAAAATCTAAGCTATTTAAATAATCAATGTATCCTTGCATTAATCCTGACAAGTCTTGATTATTTCAGAAACCAATGCACATCCATTGAAAAATTAGCTAAAGCTTCTTACAATTTGGTTTGCTTCTTGGCCTAAACTATCCGTTATTCAACTTGTAATCCAACTCCAGTATTTAGCAGAATTTTTAGCAATTTATTTTACTAGAGAATGGCTTTTCAGCAGGTTGACAGTTACTCCATGTTGGATAGACTTGTACATTATTTGAGCAAACAGATGATACAAATTGTCTTGCATTTATTATCAGCTGTCTACGAGTTATGTGTCTACTTGATGAAGCTTGATACCAGATTATGATACTTTTAATGGTTTACTAACCATATGTTTCGAATTGATTAATTTACTTTTATGTATAACTCGAACAGGGGTGAACAAAACTCTCATGGGTACTGGTAAAGGTTGATATAAATTCAGTTGAACTGTAATTAAATGATATTTGGGTATTGAGGTTTGAAAAAGTCAGTGCTACAATTAACTGATTCTGTAACTGAAAAAGTCATTGGCATTATATCCCAATGTTAAGAGTTATACATCTCTTCAAATAATTTCATGAGATTTGGTGATTATACAAAACAATAGCAATAGATAATTCAATTTAATATCAAGTTTAAATTTATGAATTCATTATAACTTATAGTGATTACTTGGCTGGACTTTGTTTCTTCAATCATTTTCAGTAGTAAAATGAATTATTAAAGCCTTGATTTGGGTTGGAATTAAATTAATCTCTTAAATAATTGGAAATGAATACTTGATATACTGTAAAAATTGACTAAAATATAATATACTTGGACAGTAATACAATAATTATCATAATATTGACAATTTTTCAATATTTTTCAGTGTAAAAATGGTTAATAACGTAAAATTACTGATCATTTTCCCTCAATTACTATCATTTCAATCTTGAATTTTATATTTTTTTATTCCGATGATATTGTACAGTCTTATAAATGTTGGAAAAATATGTTTCCTCTAAATATTTTTGCAACTTTCAATATTATTGTAACATAAAATTGTAGGAACTTCGGTCTTATAACTTGATGTTAGGATAAAAATAACTTTAAATGCAAACAAGGAAAAAACTTAACATTTATTGAAAAACAACTTTAACTTGATTAAAAAGTCAATCCTAGAGTCAAGACTAAAATAAAATTTCTGAAAATATAATTTGAGCATTCTTATTATGCTTGGATTGATCGCTTTAAGTAATTATTTGCGGATAATTTGAGAAAGACAGGTTTTGTACCATTGTGTTTAAAATTGCCATTGCTGCAAGCAAATATCAATAGCCGCGTGATTCCAGAAGTTTCTCGGTTGTTTCCCATAATTTGGTTGCAAGGTTAAAATCTGATCCCAGAGCACTAGTTTTCACTGGTTTACAATACATGAAATGTGACCCGGTGACTGAATCGAGAGATTTTTCAACAGCAAGGTAAATTAAGGTTTGAGCACCTTCATCAGGAGTTTTGGAGATAATTGACTGAAAAGGCTTGGAAAGCATCGCCATTGTAGATCCAATTAGGTCTTGAGCTAAACTGGTATTTACAGGACCAGGGCAAAATGAGTTCACTGTAACACCTGAATCTTTCAACATGGAACTCAAATAAACTGCAGTCAAAATATTGGCTAACTTACTCTTAGCGTAGACATTACTAGAGCTATAACTTTTAATCGAATTTAAATCTTCTAAATCCAATTTGTGGAGTATCCTGTGTAAAGATGAACCAGTAAATATTATACGACTTGGGGAACTTGATTTTACCAGGGGAAGTAATAGTTTAGTGAACAGGAAAGGGCCAATGTGATCTACTTGTATAACTTGTTCAAATCCGTCTTCTGTTTCCTTCCTTTCCGAATCTCCAGCCATTCCTGCATTGTTGATGAGTATGTCAAGTCTTTCAACTGACCCAAGTATTGTATCTGCACATTTTTTAACTGATTCCAATGAGTTTAGGTCAAGATGGATTGTTGTTACATCGGCTCCGGTTGATTCTCTGATTTGTTCAGCTAACTGATTGGCTTGGTCAATATTCCGACATGCAAGAATAAGTTTAGCACCACGTTTAGCCAGTTCGATCGCAGTCGATTTACCAATTCCTTGAGTAGCACCAGTAATTAACACTGTTTTCCCGTCAATTGTACAATCAGATGGACACTTAATCTTTTTAAACGGGTTCATAGACCATAAGCTAAACACGAAAAAGTCCCAAGCGTTCCATAGAAATGGCTTTAACCCTCCATTTTCACTTTCAATAACAGACATTTATGTTTCCTAATTAATTAAATAAACTTTTAAAATAAAACAATTGGTGAAATCGATCGTTACATCAGACTAAAAAATTTTCGTACTGCTCACTGAATAAAGTCTAGTAATTTAAACGACTAGCAATATCAGCTGAATGAATTAGCAGTTTGTTAGAGAAGGCTGAGCTTAAATTTCGCAAAATGGCGCTAAATACGATTGTTATTACGTTTTATAATGAAAAACATTAACAAATATTAAATGGATGTTTATTAAGGAAATTAATGCTAATTTGTTAGTAAATTTTAAGCAACTATAAATATTAAAAGGTGCACGGAAAGGTCAGAGCAATGGTCGAATGGCTACTGAATAATTATTTTCAACTTGACGGTTCAAAGTTGCAACTTTGTGAATTAATCATTTCTAGAAAATCTTTGACGATGGTTTTGCAATAAAAGTTCCCCTTTTTGATTCAATCAAAACTTATTTTAACCAAAAATCCAAATAAGAAGAAGGAAAGAGAACAAAATTTCGTTTTGAATTTATATTCTTAACTCAAAAAGTAAAAAAGTCAACAATTCTGGAGGCCCTCCTTTCTGTAAGACAATATTGTCACTACGTTTGATTTATCATGAAATTTATCGTCAGTTGATGAAGCATTCAATCTATCATTTAACCAACATTTTTAACATTTTTTGGTTCATCGGATCGGCCCTTATTAGTTGATCAATATCATTGCAAACTTGGTTTTCTAGTCATAAATTGGATTGAAATATATTCTTTTATTAAATTCTTAAATTATTCGTATTCATTTATTTTTATTCAATTCAATAGTCGATGTTTCAAATATGGGTTACAACAAATTGATACAGTTGAATCTTGCGTTGCTTTACTTTTAAATAATTGTTAAGTCAGTTTTTTCGGAAAATGGTTGGTATGGACAGAGCAATAGTCAATGATATGGTCGCTATTGAAGTGACAAAAGCAGGCGTTATGAGAACGATCTTCAAAAGGGTTAAACCAACATCGTTTCTTCTAATTCGAGTGAGAAAATATCGAATCTAAAATAGAGTGAAAAGACAAATTAAAATAAATTGATGAGCCTTGTGACAACTGTTGTTTACAACAAATCTTACCTCGTTCATGATCTCCAAGGAATGAGCTTTGTATGAAAGCGAGTAAACTCGATTGAATTGCTTATTTGCCAAACGATTTATGTTAGCCACATACAAAATAACAAATATTAATGTTAGAGCTTCACGGACGATAATAATGAGATGAATGTGGTCATATTTATTGATCAAGGCTGCAAAATGCAACTCATATGAAACTAAGCAGGCTAGATAGTAAGCAGGTAATACCATAAACAACAATGAATCGAGTTTCCTCGTTTTTTTAACAGCGATATCATATAATTGTCGAACCTTCTGTAGCTCTTCAAACCTCAATAAGCCATCAGTCTCTATCAGGGATTCAATTTGATCCGATACCATTTTGAAACAGATTTGAACATGTAGACAAGATTCAACAATGAACTCGATGAGCACAAAACGATTCATGTAGACAATGGCTCTGACAGCATCCATGAATAATTTGAATGCAAGTTGACCGTATGGCTGTGGTTCATTATAGCTTTTTGAGATATTAAGAATGCCGTAAATTAGATAAACTATAAAGATGAACGAACAATGAATCTTAGTGACTATGCGATTCTTAGCAATAAATTTACGAATGTGATCATTTTTCGCATAATTGCCAATTCCGTCATTGAAATAGTCAACGAATTTAGTATATGATTTGCGCTTGAAGATCAAATAGAGACACATTATGAAGTACAAAATGCTATTGAAGCTTAACCAAGATAGGAAAACGGAATCGAGAATTTTAAAAGTCGTTGGTTTGTAATTAACTACATTTGAATTGTATTGAGTAGCAAAAAAAGATAATTGCAGAAGTAATAATTTCGTTTTATTGAATGTTTGAAGTGATCTCGATAAGAGTCCACTTGGTCGATGGTAATCATCAGATTGAGTTTCGAGATGGATTTGAGACATTCTAATAAACTTATTTATGGATATTAATTTGTAATTAAAGTTGAAATTTGAATCACGAATGCAAATTTAGATTTACTAATGCGAAGTCTTATTCAACTGAGAAGCTTGATTGTTATGATAATACAGATCAGTAACTGAAATGCTCAGTTCGTTTATTAAACATTTTCTACCAAATGAAAATCAATGGTAAAAAGTTGCGACTTTGTGAATTGTTTGACAATTAAATGGTCTTTTCAATGAATGTTATGCTTTTCTATTCAAATAAAATTTTATTTTGTAAAAAACATGTTGATTTAGTAGAAAAATTTTCTTATTTTCATGGCAATAACTTCATTAATAGCGACAAGATTATTGATCGCAATGAAAATTAAGAGTAAATGAATAAATGCTTCTATGAATTATGTAGTTTTTAATATCAATATTCTTATTCAGTTTGTTAACATCGAGGGCAAAAAAGTGCTTTTAACAAACAAGCATCGTGCGTTTATTGTTGGAGCTAATGAATCAATGGTCAAGGATATTGTGCCCAGTGGAGTAAGTCTTGTTGGTGTGATCAACATGCCTCCATCAACACGTTCAATGCGAGGGAGGAAAAGTTGAAGCTATTATAACATTTGATTAGCGTTTGTTTTTCGGAATAATTTATTTCGATTAGTTTAATGCGTGTTTCAACAAATTGATACTTTTCTATCATTTTTAATGTTTTAATTGTTAAGTTTTTGTAAAAATGCTTGGAATGGACAGAGCAATAGTCAATGATAAGGTCAGTATTGAAGTGACAAAAGAAGGTGTTATGAGAACGATCTTCAAAAGGGTTAGACCAACATCGTTTCTTCCAATTCGAATGAGAAAATATCGAATCTGAAATAGAACGAAAGACAAATGAAAATGAAATTATCGGTCGATTTAAAGTTAATTCAATGTTACCTCAGTTATAATTGCCAAAGAATGCGCTTTGTATGAAATTGAATAAACTTTATTGAAAGCTCCATTCGCGAGTCGGTTTATGTTTGCCACATGAAATGTAATATAAATCAATATTAAAGTTTCACGGACAATAACAAGAAGACGAATGTAGCTATAATTATTGATCAGTCCTGCAAAGTTTATCTCATATACTTGAAGACAGCCACAATAATAAGCACATAATATCATGAATAAAAGAGAATCCAGTTTTCGTGTCTTTTCAGCTGCAATGTCATACAATTGTCGAATCGGCTGCAGCTTTTCAATCTTCAACAAGCCATCAGCCCTTTTCAAACATTCAAGTTGATCTAATACCATTTTGAAACAGATTTGAACATGTAGACAAGATTCAACAATGAACTGCATAAGGACGAGATGGTTTAGATGAATAGTCGATCTAAAAAGATTGCGGAATACTCTGAATGCAAGTTTATCGTATGGTTCAGATTCACGATAAAAAATGTAGACATCGTAAATAGCGTAAGTGAAATAGAGTATAAAGAAGAACGGAAAATACATGTTAGTGATTATGCGATTCTTAGCAATGAATTTACGAATGTGATCATTTTTGGAGTAGTTTGCGATTTCTTTATCGAAATAGTCAACGAATTTACTAAATGACTTTCGCTTTAAGATAAAATAGAGACATATTGAACAATTTATTATGCCATTAAAGTTGAGCCACGATGACAATAATTTTATGGCACTATGAGAAGTCGTTTTTACGGTGTAAATTTGAACTTTGTCAATGTATGACACAATGAAGGATAGTTGAATTAGGAACAATTTTGTTTTATTTAATGTTTGAAGTGATCTCGATAGGAGTCCGCTTGGTCGATGGTAATCATCAGATTGAGTTTCGGGATGGATTTGAGACATTTTATGATCTTATTTAGTATTGGTATTATTTTCAACTTAAAGGTAAAATTTAAATTACCACGATTTGATAATTGGAAATATTTTTCGACTGAGAAATAATGAGTTAACAAAATAATTTTATTTTCGCATTTATATAACAATACTGATCACCGAAGTTCAGGAGATCACAAGTTTATTGTGATTTAACGAAGAAATCCAGATGGAACTCGATCAAAGATGCAGAATTCGTAAATTTCATCAATCATTTCTAGAAAATGTTTGACAATTAAATGGTTTTACCAATAAATTTCGTGATTTTTTGCTCAAATTAAGTCTTATTTTGACCGAAAATCATGCTGATTGATCAATCATAAAGTATCAATCATGTTCTATTAGAAATATTTGATACAACAGTTTCATCTTGGATTTTACTTAAATGATACCTTTATTTTTCAATGAGAGAATGATTTAGACTACATAATAGATCAAAAAGATCCAATTCTTATGTTTTTTCAAAAACAATTCCAAAAACTAGACATATAGAGCCTTTTCTCGATAGCTTGGGAATATCAAATGATATAAATTGATTTATTATGATCAATATTATCACTATGACTGTAACTATTGTTAAAGTAAGACCATATAATCTTTCGGACAGTCTTTTAGCATGAAAATTCACAGTTAATTTTGCTCAAAATAAATATAAATAAATGCATGTCTTATGAGTGTTAACATATTTTGGGTTTACATCCTTTATTTTGATTGCAAACCGAATTTTCATCTAATTAATTACAATAAAAAGTTAATAAAATTCGATGTTTAACTATTTTTCTTTATAAAAGTTAATTTGATACAAGTTATAAATTTTCCTGTGAGTTTAGAAGTTTTTCGGTGGTTTCCCATAATGCAATTGCCAGCTTAAAATCTGATCCAAGTTCATTCGTTTTTATCGGCTTGCAATCCATGAAATGTAACCCAGTAACAGACTTAAGAGATTCTTCAACAGCAAGGTAAATTAAGGTTTGAGCTCCTTGATCAGGAGTCCGGTAAATTATTGACTCGAAAGGTTTAAAGATAGCTGCCATTATGGGACCAGTCAGATCAGAAGCTAAATTGGTATTAACTGGTCCAGGACAAAATGAGTTTACTGTAATGCCGGAATCTTTCACCATAGAACTCAGATAGATAGTAGTCAATATATTGGCTAATTTACTCTTGGCATAGGCGTTTCTAGAATGATAAAACTTTTCTGAATTCAAATCTTCTAGATCCAATTTGTAAAGTATCCGGTGCATGGATGAAGCAGTGAATATTATACGACTCGGAGAACTTGATTTTACCAGTGGAAGCAAAAGTTTCGTTAGCAGGAAAGGACCGATGTGATTTACTTGCATAACCTTTTCAAAGCCATCGTTTGTCACCTTTCTTTCATCGGCTCCAGCCATTCCTGCATTGTTGATAAGAATGTCAAGTCTGTCAACTGACCCAAGTATTGTATTTGCACATTTTTTAACTGATTGTAATGAGTCTAGGTCAAGATGGATTGTTGTTACATCGGCTCCGGTTGTTTCTCTGATTTGTTGAGCTAATTGATTCGCTTGATCGATATTCCGACATGCAAGAATCAGTTTAGCACCACGCTTAGCCAGTTCGATCGCAGTCGATTTACCAATCCCTTGAGTAGCACCAGTAATTAACACTGTTTTCCCGACAACTTTACAACCAGATGGACACTTTATCTTTTTGAATGGATAGATAAAATATAAACCATAGAGAAGAAGGTCCCAAGCATTCCTTAAAACTGATTTTCTCCAGCAAGCATTAACTTGAGTAGTTTCCATTTTGATTTTAAAGCAACAATTTAAGAGACTGATTCTTTATTTGTTTTCTGGAATGATAAAAAACGTTGACTTGACTTTCAAAACAAGTTAGAAGTCTGGAACTTGAATACTTCTTGTTTCTTTTGTTCTTAACTTGCTGAGCATTGGATGATTTTACATGGTTGTTTTAAGTAACCGAACTGGTTTAAAATACTTGACAGGTCAGCAAAGAGAAAAGCAGTAATTTAAAACCATGAACTCTCAATCAATGAATATCAGCTGAATAGGCGAACCAATTATTTATAAAACTGGTGCAGCATGTGATTGAAAGAGGCGCGTTCTTCAATATTTTTTTAATATTTAACAGTTTACTAAAAATAACCGAGTGGCCACTTAAACGCCTAGAAATATTTATGTAACATCTTATTAAAATCAATTTTTGGATTGAATATTCTATAGCTTACTATATACATGAATTATCATGAAAGCTTCATTTTTTCCTAAAAATTTTCTGATAAAAACATTGGAAATACTGATCTCACAGTAAACACTGGCTGTCAGTGAAACGCTTTTAAGATAAAACGGCGAACATCAAATAGAAAGCCATTTTAACTTAGTTTCCGCCTTGATTGTATCCTCTGTTCTGTATGAAATCAACTTATATAGACCAATCAATTGATACAATTGATCAGAATTAAAGATTTAATTCATGAGAGAAATTTTACAAATTTAATATTCCAGGCTTTAATTTTTATTATAATCGTAGAGCAGATGAAGTATGAATTACTCTATGACTACAATAAAGTACAATTCAACTTTCGAGATTAGAAATTTGGTTTTTTTCCCTCCGATTATCATGTAACAAAGTCACATTTAAAACTGAAACAATTTCTTTTTGGTAGAATGATCAAATAAAAATTATAATTGAGCGAAAAATTAATTTTCTATGAAATCAAGCTGATAAAACTATGCAATTAAACTTAATTTTAAAATTAAATTGTATCGATTTTTAGCAATAAGGGATTGAGGTACTATCGTTTTTTTATTACTCAGCAGAATGATGAACAACATCAAGCAGAGTTGTTTATAAATTAGGTTCATGCGAATCCGAGGAGTTAATTTCTTGCTTGATACTAATAGTTTTCATCTAGAGAACAGTTGTATATCTTTTAGAGCTATCTTTGTTTACAAGTCTAACAGCATAAGTCGAGGATCTTCGACAGTTGATTTAATTTTTCGTAAAAATGTTACGGCTTCCCTTCCGTCAATAATCCGATGGTCATAAGTTAAAGCTACATACATCATTGGTCTGATTTCAACCTAAAAAGAGAGAAAAGAAAAAATATAGATTATATGAAATTTACATGCAGTAAATACTCGTTTGAAGCAATTTCTCATTTCGCTCTCTATGTCTAATTTACGAATTTGTTAGCAAAATACCATCTGAAACATCGAAATTGCTAGATGGCGACTGAGAAAAAATTGCCCTAAGTAGGTATATAAAATTAACGAACCTTTCCCTTAACAGCAACAGGTCTTTCCACAATACCATGCATTCCTAAAATTGCTGATTGTGGTGGATTTATTATGGGAGTTCCAAAGAGAGATCCAAAAACTCCACCATTACTTATAGTAAAAGTTCCACCGTCCATATCTTCAATGGCCAAATTATTGGTTCGAGCCTATAGAAATTCATTATAATTTTATAAATTGTGCGAACAAATCATTTATGTTTCATTATAAAGTTACCTTTTCTCCCATATCAGCAATTGCTTGTTCTATCTGCGCATAATTCATATTCTCAACATTTCTGAGAACTGGAACAACTAATCCTTTTGGTGTAGCGACTGCAACGGAAATATCGATGTAATCACGATAAACGATGTCCTGATCATCTATGACTGCATTGACAATTGGTTGATCCAAAAGAGCGTAAGCTGTTGCTTTGACGAAAGCAGACATAAAACCTAATTTAAGATTGTGCTTTTTTAAAAAAGCATCTTTGTACGAGTTTCTTAACTCGATAGCATTACTGTAAATAGAAAATAAATAACGATTTTAGATCTATCAAAACACGTGAGAACGATTGAAATTTTACCTCATATCAATTTCATTGAATGTTGTCAACATAGCATAGGTGTTCTGGGCATCTTTTAGACGTTGAGCAATTCTTTGTCTCATTCTATTTATTTTGACTCGGTGTTCTGCTCGATTTGGTCCTAAAACTCCAGGCACTTCTGTTACGGGTGTGGGAGGTGTAAAGGAGAAGACCGGGGTGGACGATGAAGGTGCTGTTGGTTTTGGTGGAGCTGGTGGTGGTGATGAAGGTTGAGATGAAGCTGGTGATGGTGGTACTGGAGATGGACTGTGAGATTGTTGGGGTTCAGGCTGCGTAGATGATTCGCTAGATTCTTTTTTGGCAGCACCAACAGCTCCAACTCTGATTTTGAAAATTGCTTGACCAGATTTAATGGCGGTTCCATCTTCCACAAGAAGTTCTTCAATAACGCCAGCATGAGGGGAATTGATTGGAACCGTGGTCTGTAAAAAGATGGCGAAATGTCAATCAGATGGAAAAGGTACAATAGAAACAAAACCAAAAGCGTGTAAATGATAATGAGAACAATTAGAGCAGACTCAAAGCAACTGTAACTCATGAAAGAAAACAAAATTTGCACCTTATCGGTTTCAACTTCGGCAACAAGTTCGTCTTCAGCTACAGTATCACCAACAGCTAGAATAAGAAAAATAAAAATATGAGTAAATTAGATGCATCAAATTAATTTTTCAAGATAAAATACGCTGTAATAGTTTCAACTCACCTTTTTCCCAGCGAATGTCACCTTCACTAATTGATTCAGCGAATTGAGGAGCTAAAACAGATTTGACTTCGTCACCTGTGTTTGAAAAATGATGATAACCCAATTAGACGATAAACCACAATTTTTTGAAAAAAATAAAAAGAGAAACAAAAATAACAATTATACAAGAGCACATTATTGATAGCACAAGAAAAATTGCACAATGTAAGAAACAATCAAAGATTGAAGGAGAAAATTGTCTTCATACATAGTTGTAGGCTGGTGTGGAAAGGTCTCCTCAATGACACATTTTTATAAATTGTATCAGAATTTAATTTTTGGTAAAAGCTAGCAATAAAACGTTGAGGGTGCTTGACCGACAAATGTCGAACAGAATGGGAATAACCAGAGAAAGCTACAAGGTTACAGTGTCGATTCCGTTGTAGATATGTCACCAATCGACCACATTTCGTCAACATTTTGTAAGAGCTGAATAACTACGATAGTTCAGGAAAATCCGTTGATGAACAGAAAAAAAAGATAGTATAAATTGACTAAAAGATGAAAACGATTAGATTTTAATTTGAATATTATTATGATAATAATAAAATTAAATTGACCAGCTGATCAAAGCCAGGGTTAACCAGAAGAGCAAGCAGAACCAAAAACCGACGTGGAAAAAATGTGAAAGCTCCATCTAGGGGAGTAAATAAAAGATTTCGCTTTTTGCAATTTTGCACTTTGGTCCATTCTGAAATGGTGACTTTAACGCAAACTAATCTTGATTGATTGAATTAATTAAATTGTATCGAGCATTTGTTTTTCTCCATTATTGTATCTTCAACCTTTTTTATCGTAGCGTGGTAATCAAAGTAAGTTTTCAATTTATAAGTGATCATTAAACCCCAAAAAAACTATTTTCTCTAATCATCTGTGCTTTTCTCATTCTCATTCCCTCTTTCTCTGTCTGTCTATCTATCTTCAATATATCTTTATCCATCTAATTTTTTCTTCTCTCCCTCTTGTCTATTTTCTCACTATGAATTAAACAAAATACACTCTCAAATCCTCTCAGTTTTTTTAATACCTCTTCTTTTGTCTTATTTTGTCTCAATTTCGTCATCATCATACTATCAACATTACCATTATCTCTGTAATTGTGTTCCTCTCTGATGCTCTCTACAACTTTACTCTATTTCATTTTTCTCTTGTTTACACCAATCCAATCACACATTGATTCACTTATCACACGTTGGTCTTTATCATTATAACATTAATAACATTGGTACTTTCTTTTTCTTTTTTTCACCCTTGTTTCCTCCCTTTCCTTTGTTTTTTGCCTCTGTGCGCTGGTTTGATACCATTGGGTGATCATGGTTAAAGAATCAATCAAGCTGATTATCAATCAGGAAAGCAAGTTTTCATCCTATCTCTCGGGTGACCGTATCAATATTGGGAGCAAATCCATGAGTGATCACGAGGAAGAAGAGAATGGTAAAAACGATGCTCTCTCTGCTCCTCATAACGGTCCCCTTGGTAATGGCTCAATGATTGACAACGAAGCTTGCGGTATTCGAGATGTATGGGCTAAAAATTTATATGATGAGTTTAAAGTTATTCGACAAGTGGTTCAAAAGTATCCTTTTATAGCTATGGATACTGAGTTCCCTGGAGTTGTGGCCAGACCGATTGGTGAATTTCGCTCTTCCTCTGACTATCAATTTCAACTGTTGAGGTGTAATGTTGATCTGTTGAAAATAATCCAACTTGGTTTAACCTTCCTCGATGATAATGGTAAAACGCCACCCGGTTACAGTACATGGCAATTCAACTTTAAATTTAGCCTTTCAGAGGATATGTTCGCCCAGGACTCCATCGAGTTACTTCAAAATTCTGGTATCCAATTCAAAAAACACGAGGAAGATGGAATAGATCCACTTGATTTCGCTGAACTTCTCATAACATCCGGAATAATCTTGAACGATGATGTCAAATGGCTCTCTTTTCACAGTGGCTACGATTTTGGTTATTTACTAAAAATCACGACAGATCAAAATTTACCGACCGACGAGTCTGAATTTTTTGAACTTCTCCGTTTATATTTTCCATCCATTTATGATATAAAATATCTAATGAAAAGTTGTAAAAATCTTAAAGGTGGTCTCCAAGAGGTAAGAACATTGACCTTTTAGCATTGAATGTCCCATGAGTCATCTTAACGCTTCACTAAACATATCCTTAATATAAATATTTTTTAACACTTATCATTTTTTATAATCAGGTTGCTGATCAATTAGAATTGCAAAGGATTGGACCACAACATCAGGCCGGTAGTGATAGTCTCCTGACTGGATCAGCCTTCTTTAAAATGAGAGAGATGTTCTTTGAAGATAACATCGATGATGCAAAATATTGCGGCCACCTTTATGGTTTAGGAGCATCTTATATCATGAATGGTAACTGTCCGCCAGAAAATACAACAGGTAAAGTTGAATATTCAGACATTCTTTCGTTTTAATGGAATCCTAGTCGTAATAACAACAAAAATGATTCAATACACATTTTGCAGTTGTGGATTACTTAGGCACTATTTTTGATTTATTTTTTACTTGATATTATTTGGATTGTTTTTATTTTGTTATTAAGTGATCTTAGGCGTTTCTCGTTAACTCGAGCATGTGAAATACTGTCAATGTTCAATTTCACTTTACAAATATTTTTCTTTTCATGTCAACTTTTCTAATTGTTTTTCAATTTCATTACAGAGCCAACGTCAACAGCAACAACATCATCTACAACGACGTCTTTACAAACCACAACATCATCAAGCTCTTGATGAAATTAATACTAGTTAAGAGCTACTCAAAATTTAGTACCTAACCATACACATAAATACAATCTCTATTTCTCTCTCACCGGAACAGAAAAAGAGCAAAACAAAACCCTGTTTTGAATATCGATCAAAGATTTCATAAAATCTGGGCTACTCTTGCTTCTTTTTCTTCTACTTTCTCCTTAGGACCCTTTTTCCTTCCCTTTTTCCCTTTCAACCATTTTTCCTTTTCCCTTGTCTCTATCGGACCTTATTCAGACCCGATAAGAAGTTAATTGTATCTTCTCGCATGTTCCAAAGATCATTGTTTTATATTCATCCTATCGGGCCTGAATAATGGCCATATTTTTTAAATCTTAATAATAAGAAGAAACCAGGAAAAGAAAATTGGTGATATTTTGTGTTTTTAACATACAATCTGTTTTGATTACGAAAAAATAGAAGAAAAAAAAATACTTCAACTTCCTAGATTGCTTTTTCCATTTTATTTAGTAAGAAAATTCTCAAGATTCAGTTTCAAAACTATTCAGATTTGACAAAGTTTATTGATTCGATCAAATGACTTTTTTTCGTAATTAACATTCGTATTACATTATTTAGCATCCAAAAAACCTTTAACGCGTCTAGTCAAACTTTTTTTAAAATTGAGTCGGATTCCATCATAAATTTTAGACATTTAATCATCATTCACATGTTAAAACAGGAGATGAATTCGTCGAAGGTTGAGTTAGAGTCGAGACGAGTTCATTAGCTTTTTCTTTGTTTTTCTCCTCGTTAATTCGTTTTCTAGTTTTAAATAGCAGTTTATGACCTGGTAAAAGAAGAAATGAAAGAATTAAATTGATGTCATCGATTAAATTGAAGTAAACAATTTTCTTACCAACACAATCTAGAACTAATTTGTAAACTTTGTTCCGACAACATGTTCTGCAAAGATTGTAATCGCATTTAACTCCTTTCGGATTCGGGCACAAAACACAAAGAGGTAATCTACGTCCAGCTGCCTCTTTAGCTTCTTTTTTAGCGATGAGTTTTGCCTCATGAGCTAATCTCTTCGCTTCATTCGCTTCTGAATCATTTTCTATTGGTCGTTTTTTACTTGTCTCTTCGGATCCTGGTGGTTTTATTGGTGGCGGAGGAGGGCGAAAGTGGGGTTGACAAAAATAAGGAGGTAAGGGTAACGTCGACATCGGCATATCAATATACAAATCTTCTAATCCATAGTTTTCTTTAAAGCGTTCTTTCATCAATTCAACAAATTGATGAAGCTGACTCCTAGCATTAGCTTTAGCTAACAAAGATCTTAAATCATTATTCTCCTCAATACTCAAAGAAATATGGAAGAATTTGAATAAATGTCCTCGAGCTATCGATAAGGCACAAGGATACTGTTCAACCAATTGCAAATAATCTTCGGCTATTTTCCACACTGGAGGATGAATTGCACGAAATAAAGCTGGGTTGTGAAGCACTCCTTCGGCGGACATAACACCTTCAACTCCAGTTTCCTCTAAACATCTATACACATCAACAAGACTTTGGATATTGCCATTCGCTACCACCGGTATCTTTACATTTTCTCTGAAAAATTGAAATAAATAATCAAATATATGGAAATGTAATTTTTGCAGTTACTTTTTTATGAAATAAAGAAATTAAATCTTACTTGATTGCTTTAATATATTGCCAATTTGCTAATCCAGTAAGAACTCCTTTTTGTTCCTTTACTCGTCCATGGACAGCTAATAATGAACAACCAGATTGTTCCAACATTTTAGCATAGTTGATTGATTTTTCCATATCTTTAAATATCCTAACTTTACAGGTTATAGGAATGGTCAATTCATTCTTGACTTTAGAAACTAGAAAACAGACGATATGTCAACTGAAACATTAATTAAGAATTTTTATAAGAATAAAGAAGAAGGGCAAGAAAACTATGTTGGAATTATTGAATTAGTCATATATGACAAAAATTTGAACATTTGACTTACTCATAGATCTTAAAAGATCCCATTCGTCTTCTAAAAATGCTCCATAATGGCCACGCTTCGCAATGGTCTGAGGGCAACCTAAGTTGAGGTCTATGGCATCACAATAAGGTTCAGCTAATTTAGCCGCTTCTAGAAATGTATCTGGGTCATTGGCACAAAATTGTACAACTAAAGGTCGATCACTTTCACATGTTACCAAATTTTCTTTACGATATTTAGCATCTTTAACAAATATACCGGCATGTAACATGGGAGAGTAGCACAGTTGAGCTCCATATTGGCGACATAGCAAGCGAAAGGGAAGCTCACTTTGATCAACCATAGGTCCAACAATGAATTGAGCTTTATTAAATTTAGTTGTCCAAACATTTTCCATAATTATTTGAAAATCGAATAAAAAACTAGAAGAAAATCAAATCAAAAAATTAAAAATAATAAACATTGAAAAAAACAAAATAAACAATGAAAACGGTGATGCAACCAGTTGGTTAACCAGTACATTATACATACAGCAGATGGCAGAAGTATACAGAACACCAGAATAAATCATTTTAAACAATTAAATTTAAATTTTACTCAAATGCAGTTTCTAAGCATCAAGACTGGGTCGATTGTAATTTGTATAGAAGCATAATTTTAAGATTTAAGGTTCGAGGCTATACCTATTGTCAAAATTGTATTCTTAATGAACGAAAAGGTTCATTTTAAAAGAAACAAAAATGAATCGAGAACCAATTCAGTGTAAGTTTCCAGAAATGATTAATGATTTCACAAAAGCTTTTTAGTCTCGCATAATCAATATTCGTATTCATTATTGAAAAATTTGGACTTTAATTCTTTTTTATAATTCAATTTAATATAATAGGATCATGATAAAATACTAACCTTGGGACCTCAGTTTTTTTCAAAAGATTAAGATATTTTGTACGTGAAACAATCGTAACATGAACTAATAGATAAATCACTATTTTATATGTTTAAGATTAAATAGTAGATGATAATAAAAGCCTACTGCCTTCGTTAAATTGATTCCCAATTAAGATCCCCACAAAATCGTGTTATATGTGCATGTAAATCGTATTATGTGAGCAAAATGTTTCATCAACAAGACTTGTTTTAGGTAAATCGATAAATTGTTTCAAGCAAAATTGAGTCTAGCCAATAATTTCAATAAAATGAGTGAAGAGTACTATTTATGATAACTAATAAGGTAATTTCTTGTTTTATCTGACTTTTTTTACTCAAATTGCTTTCTAATTTATTGTAATGATCTGTCTAACGTTAACATTTTTTACAGTAGTTATTGAATCAGATTAGACACAATCAAGATCAGGACCGTGAAGCATGATTGGGGAGACAATGACTACAAATTTCTCTAATTATCATCACAATGTAAATTTGATTCATCAAGAATAGTTGAAATAAAGTGTTCAGCATTTGTTCGTGTTCCTTGAAGCTTGTGGTGATTAAACGACCAGTATTTTTACTTGAGATAACCGTCTTAACCAGTTTACATCAACCATGAGCAAATTAAAAGAATCCATTGAGTTAATCAAATTGCTACGAATTGACTTTTACATGGCTCTTTTCATGTTTGGTTATGGAGTTTATCAAGTTCCGATTGTTGAATTCGTCCAAGACAAAATTTGCCTAAACCAACTTGGGAAAGACACCGAGTCTTGTCGGAGTTTAAATTCAGGTGATGTTGCATTGGCAGACCTTCAAAGTCAAGTAATAACTGCAGCCACCTCAATGCGCAATTATCAGACACTGGTCAGTACGATTCCAGGAGTAATTCAATCATTTTTCTTTGGTTACTGGATCGACAAATATCCTTCTCATATTCGTCTACTTTTGGTCGCTCCTTGCGTCGGCATGTTCATCCAATCGACCAGTTTGATTTACCAATGTATAAATTTTAAGATTCGTAAGTAACCAGTTTTTAGTTGATTCAAAAGTTAGAAGAGTAATATTGAAACCTATTTTATTATTTATTTTGGTTAGCAATTGAAAACTCACTTTGGTCCTTTTTGGCCATGGGTCTTGGTGGTGGTCAATCTCTGGCTTTAGCAGCTTCTTTCACTTATGCTGCAAAGAAAACACCTCAAAAGTATCGATCAATTAGATTTGCGATTGTTGATCTCTTTATATTCACAGGTAAATTTTACAATCAATTATTATGTGAATCTCGATTTAAATCTGAGAGGATAAAAAAAGATAAAAAGTATACGTAAAGAGTAACCTTAATTTCTCGCTGTTTTATCAAATAATCACAATGAAACTTTAACCGTTATAACCGTTATCGTAAAAATTAAACTTCTGTTAGTTATGATTTTCATTCATGGTTATGTTAAATTTTGCGAATCGCTCAAATTATCTTAAAGGGCAAGGCCCAGAAATTAATTTCAAATACGACATTTATTACAACTAGAGACTGCTGGCATCATGGCTGTATATTGTGTGAGATACTTTATTAATTGTATCCCTCAAGAATCAAGTCTTACAATCTTACTGTACTTGTTTGATTTTAGGCTATACTCTGTGTCCCTCTTCAATTCTTACACTTTCAATTGTTTTATTCATGTTGGAATTTTCTATTCCGAGCAAGTTGTAAATAGCTATCAATTATTGATAAATTGTTATACAACCGCAAGATTGAAACACGCATGAACAGCATGTCAGTTAACAGTGAGATCCCAAGTTTTCTGGTACAATTGTTATCTATTGTTAAATTAATAATCATCATTATTTAAACTGAATCTAATCATGTTTTTAATTCTTCAATTCAGCTTTTCCTCTCGGTGTAGCTGCTGGGGGTAAAATACTGGCTGCAAAACCATGGTTTGGTGGCGAAGAGCGTAACTTTACCGGCGTCTTTACAGCAAGTGCTATCTCTATGATCATTGGCATCATCTGGGCGATTGTATTCATCAATGATTCTGGACCTAGAGAGAGGAAACCTTCAGCGGAGGCCAATGGCACAAATGGAAACCCGTCTTCTCCTGCTTCAGAGGCTGCTACTTCAATGACTGAAATTGATCTAACGGACAATGGACCACAAACAAGTGCAAAGGAAACAAAACAAACAGCTTGGGCTATTGCTGCTGATATATTTAATTTGGCTAATGTTTATAAAACATTTAAGACATTTTTCCGAAAACGAGACAATAATGATCGACTCAAAGTGGTACTGTTGTCATTTTCCGTGCTCATAGTTTTCGTTAGTCTTTTAGGTGAATCAATGTTTGGTTTTCAATACACTGAGAAGGAGTTTCTTTGGAACTCTGAAAAATATTCAGAAATTGCTGCTTTAGTTACAATTGCTCAATCTCTTGGAACTGTAATTGGATCAACATTATTGAAAAACGTGGCTAAACTTGAAGATGCTGAAGTTGCTGCTCTTGGAACCCTTTCACATTTTCTTGGAAACCTTATCAGAGGTATTCCAACGGTGACTACTTACATTGCTGGCTCGCTAACATTTTGTCTGGCTGGTATCGCTATTCCCGCAACTCGATCAGTGTTAACTCAAATCATTGATTTCAATGAGATTGGTCAAATTTTAGCAATCATAGCTTGCTTCCAGGCAGTCGGTCCATTGGTAGCCAGTGTTATAACAACCGCAGTGTTTGAAGCAACTATTGATTCAGCTCCTTCTACTGCTTATCATGTTTTATCTGCTCTTGTTATTCCACCTTTGATTGTTCAAGTATGGGTCAGCTGTATTAAGGAAAGCAAAGAAAAGAAGCCAACTCCAGAAGTTAAATTCATAAGAAAATCTGATATAGTCAGAATTGAAGAGCCAAGTAGACCTCAGGACACAGAAAAATTTTAGGGTTTTTAAAGTCTTTTTAAGTCACAATTTCACTTCATCTTTCACTATATTTCGCATTGTTTACACACATTTTATACATTTTATATCAGTCATATGATCAGACACTTTTGTTTACTAAAAGATAACCAATCACATAAAGCTTAGTGCAAAAGGGTTTGGGAAAATTCATTTAATTATGAATTACGACGATTTGACTGTATCAGGATTTTGAGCTCAAACACAAATCGATAACTCACTTTGAATCGTTAATTTGAATAGAAATTTTCAAGTCAACATTTATTTATCAGTTAACTGCCATATTTTAGACTATCAACATTGAAAAAATAATAAAGTCATAAAAGTCATAAATGAAGTTCAAATTTTCATGGACTGAATCATGAATATCCAACAGTGGAAGTAAGATGTATTAATTAAGATAATAGTAATTAAACGGGTCTAATTAATCTTCAGCAAATAAACTATGAAACTAAATTATGATCGTCGAGTGATCTTTTCATTTCGAAGCTAAATTTCTGAATGTTCCCAATACTTGTAAGCTTCAATTAAACTGTTTTGTAATTTCGAATGTTTTTGATGAAAATAAAAGGATAAGACTAGATTACTAACCATTTACATTGTATTGAACATGACGATGCTTTAATGTGTTTTTCAAACTTCGTGTTTAGCTTTGTAATTTCAAGAAAACATTTCTATGAGCTTTACACAAAGTCGTAAAAAGGTTAAAAGATTGGGGAATTCAACTTTTAATAATGAAATAAAAACTTCACGTGTGCTCATATTCATAGAGTGATGGGAAAAGTCTGTCCCGAGAATCTTGCAATCTATTAGGTTCATATTCATCCTCGTTTTAATGATTTCTCGGTCTAAAAGACGAAGATTGATGAGATGATAAGTTTTAGGTGCAGCCAAACTTCAAAAAATCAGATAACTGTTAACCAATTTATTTAAGTGATCATTGGTATAATTTGTTTGGAGTCTGCATCGGCAAATATCCAGTTTGCATGTATTAGGTCATCCGGTATAGTTTTCCCCTTGGTATGAAGGAATGACTTTTTGGTAGATTTTAAACGTCTAATGGCCTTATCAGGCCTTACAACGAATCCTACTAGAGAGAAAACGCGACCGAACTTTATCTTCTCAGTGCGCAGGCTCATTATCTAAAAATTACATTTTTTGCGGCTTTTGGCCGTAAATTGCTCAACACTCCGCTTCACATGCGTGTTTTTTGAGATTTGAAAGAATTAATCAGTAGTAAAAGAACACATCTCAAAAATTATGAGCGAAAAAGAATGCTAAATAACCTGAAACATTTGTTTTTTTGACATTGAATGTGATCTTGCATTCGTTCACAACGTCAGTACAGGCCAACTGAGTGGCACTGTCAATTTGTTGTCACTTTTCTAATTTAATACAGAGCTCCACCATAGCATATGTGGTACTAAAAGATTCTTTAGACTTTCGATAAACGTTCTAAGCTGAAACCTGATCGCTATCTATCAACCCAATCCTTAAAATTCGAATGCAAAGTCCTTAACCCCATTTTCAAGCTGTACTGCGTTCTGACCGCTATTGATGCCGTTGTATTGACTCTAGAAGAACATTCTCAGCATGGTTTAACAGACACATATCATGGTTTACAACGCCACAGAAACAATAAATTTCACATCTAGCTTCTTCGAGTAATAGCCATTTTTCGAAGTTGAATCATTGCACAAATTAAAATTTTTTTGAAAAAATTGTCAGTTGTTGATGAATAAAACAAAAGAATAATAAGGTACTGGGTTGATGATGATGGTTGTGATGTTTTCAGGTCCGGCGAATCTGAAAACGTTGAATTCGTCACTCAAAAATCGCATCTTCATACCGAGGGGAAAACTATACCGGATGACCTAATACCTGGTTAAAATTGATGTCTGTGTTAATCAACCAGGCCAATTCTAAATGTAATAAACCCAAGTACTCTTTATAAATCCTGATTGAGTTTAACTGTACTTACTGGTTCGACTCAAATTAGGTCCAGCAATTATCACTTATCATATAAGTTGCTTACTTGAACGCAAATCCATATTGCATATTGCATATTACATATTTAAAAGTAATAATTTATGAGTACACAGATAAATCAGTTGATTGTAACTTGAATCATTGTCAAGAGACGGCGTTTATTTTTCTGTTGGTATAAAATGAGATCTCTCATGTAAGGTGTGATCTATAGTCTACTAAACACTTAAGTCAGTTTGTTATTAATAATAACTTATTATGAAACCGAGTAATTGAGTTTTTGTGTTATTCAATTGACTCAATTGAGTTAATCATTTTTTATATTTTATAGTTCAAGTTTTATTGTTTAAGTCTATTAAAAAGTTTATACACTTGAATGGGTCTCTCCAAAAAAGAGCGACTTGATTTGCTCAAATCTCTACGAGTGGATCTCTTCTTGACTTTTTACAATCTCAGTGTGATCATCTGTGGTTTAAGTTTAAATCAACTGGTCGAAGATAAAATTTGTTTCAATCAATTGAAACTCGATTCTACTACTTGTTTAAACATTGAAAATGTCAATGGAACCAGAGAGGCAGACAAAGACTACATCATATCAACTGCAGCAACATTCAAAAATTACCAAACTTTGATCTCAACTCTACCAACAGTTGTTTTGATATTTTTCATCGGTCATTGGATCGACAATCATCCAAAACAATTGAAATATATTCTTGCTGTTCCAGCCATTGGAGGGACGATAATTTCATTTATTCTTATTTTTATCTGCTTTAAATTTCAAATCGGTAAGTACTAATCAATCTAATTAGTTATTTAATTATTATTAATATAAATATTGACTTTGTTATCTCTTCAGATTACAGATTTCTTCTGTTGACTGATGTTGTCAGAGGATTAACTGGAGGCTCTGTTGTTGTATTTACGGGAATCTATACATACATTACTCAAAGAACACCATCTCGACTCCGAACTCTTCGGTTTGCTATTCTTGAACTTTTTAAATTTATTCGTAAGTAAATCCAAAATGATAAACTTCAGAGCATCTATTTAGACCAGAGTATCTGTTCAATGGTTTGATGTAAGCTCCTGACAAACCCACTTGCTTGAGTTTGCCTCCCAAATGTGCTACATTAAGTCAAATATTCGCATGTTGATGTCGTACTTATGATTCCTTAACGATACTGTCAATTAAGGAATTGAGACAATAATCATTTATGCGAAGGAGAAAATAATATCTGCATTAAACGTTAGCTACTTTTGTTTTTTAGTAACTCAATGATTTAATCAACAGTGAAAAATTACTTTAATTGCCGCAACAATAATTTCAATAACTGGTTGATGGTGAATATTTTTACCACAATTCATTATTTAATGTTATCTAAGATTGAAAAAAATATCAATGATATTGTTTATTTCATCACAGGATCATGAATCTGTGTATGTTGAACAGGAAAATAATTACATAAGTCTCTTATCGTTTCAATTAACCTCACACGTTCATTTATTATTTTTCTTATTGTTACAGCAAATCCAATATCTACTTATCTTGGTGGACTGATCCTCAATTCCAAGCCATGGATTGCTGACCAGCCACGGAATTACATTGGAGTTTTCTTTTTATCAGCCTCTTTTAGCATTGTTGGAACCATTTGGATCCTACTTTCATTGAATGATTCAGACCAAGCAAGAAAATTACTTGATTTAAATGGTAGAAATGATGACCGTTCAAAGAGCAACAACGAAGTTGAAGAAAAACCAGCTGAAACAGCCTCTAAAATTTTCGATTTGGAAAATGTTAAAAACATGATTCAAACGTGTATCAAGAAACGCGAAAATGGCTTTCGCGCTCGTATTTGGCATTCCATTTTAGCACTTACTTTCACTTTATTATGTATGAGTGAAACCGTTATTGAATTTCCCTTTGCACAAAAAGTGTATCACTGGGATTCAGCATACTATTCAAGGATTTCACCCATTTTTATGATCTTAACTGCTGCTGCATCTTCATTTGCTATACCAGTTTTAATTCGTCGATTTAGCATAACTGATACTAAAATGTGTTTACTGGGTTTTGTCTCTTTATTCCTGTCACTGGCTGTTCGAGGACTTTGGTTATCACCAAATGGTTATTACGTATCTAGTTTCGCTGGCATACTTTCTGGTCTATTGCAAATTTCAATCCGAGCTTTTCTTGCTCGGATGATTAAATCGGACGAAATTGCACAAATTTATTCTCTACTTTCAGCAATTGAAGCTTTTGCCCCTTTGCTGTCCAGCTTGTTTTACACGACAATTTTTCATGCAACAATTAGTTTTAATCCAGGATTAGTTTATCTAATTGCTTGTGCCTTTTTAATTTATCCTTTTTGTATAATTGTATGGCTAGACTTTACCAAATCTGTTTGGTACAACGCCAATGAAGAGGTTAACATTCCTCAAACTACAGTTTATAATACAATCGAATCATAACATGTTCTTGATTCGTTCCTAGTCATTCAAAATGTTACTAATTTACTCAAAAGTACATATTTATATGTTAAATTTATTTTAATTGTTAATTTTTTGTAAATCCATTGGAAATTTTTGTTATTTTTTTAATAATACAAATGATATCTTGAGCAAAATCTCATATTTTATAAACTTTCTCATAGTCAAATCTCCAAATATTTAGTGGAGAGTTGAACTACTTAAGTAACCAAACAAGTTCATTAAAGCATTTTTAAAGTCTTTCGAGCGCGTAAGATTAACGTTATTTAATAAATTCCCTATCTAAATTGATTAAATTAATACGTGAAAAATTCAATATTAACATTGATAATGAAACGAGTAGGCAAAATTCCTTACTTTTCCTTTGAATAATATCTATTCCTTAATAATAATTCCTTGCTGTAATTGCTATACAAAGGTACAAAAAACAACCCTTATTATGAAATGATGTTTCTATTAAAATAATATTTTATTACAATCGACTTGTTTAATGCATGCACTAATTATTATCGAAAGAAAGAAGACTAAGTTTACTATAAGAATGGTCAAAAACTTCGACATTCGAGTTAAAAAAAATTATTTGTGGGTTTGAAGAAGCAAAACTGAGTCCATTAATCATATTGAAAGCTTATATTGCTTATAAACCTATGGATGGCATTTTATTTTATAATAGGTTTAATTACCAGTTTTTAATGATTGTATGAGTTTTCTTGTTTGCATCTTGCAAAAAGTAGGATTGTCGAAAAACTTTGTCTTTTGTGTTGAAAGTTGGGACTGTGTAGCTTTGGAGGGGTAAAACTGAGTCCATTTGTGCTATTGAAAAGTTTCTCCGATTGATAATTTTAGACGAAATCGCATTTTGAGTTGAAACTTCGAACGCCTTTTGCTCATTTATGCAAGCAGATTTTTTCATCAAACTTAATTATGTGATGTAACTTTTAATAGCCAACAAGAAAATGTACTTTATTTTGCTGAATCGAACTTTTTGTTTCGGTAAAATAGATAAGTTCGATTTTGAGTTAAACCCAAACCGTTTAGTGGACGTAAGAGTTAGAGATCTGAAATTTATTATTTGTAAATTAAAAAGACTGGTACACCTCAATAACCCAACACTTTTTTCAGTTTATAAACCGTTCTCTTGATTTTGGCCATTTACCTAAAAACTTTGAGCCTTGATATTTCGAGAATGGTAGCAGATATACTCATCATTTTTTGGACAATTATTCAATTTATTATGGGTTATAACATAATTGGGCAGATATCGAAGAACGTCTAAGTTAATTCATTTTATGATGATTAACCCTCATAAGACGCTTCAAAACATCATAAGATTTGTGTTTGATCAACTATTTACACTGTTTCAAACAAATGGTGCAACTGATTGACAAAAATGCGTCGAAAATGGGTAAGAATTAATTTCTGGCAAAATGCAACTTTGTAGGTTTGCAGGAACATAAAAACCTAGGGAATTCGCGCAATTTAAGGACTCCTATGATCAACAGTTTTCAAAAAAATCGAGTCAAAAGTTGAAGCTTCGATCGCTTTTTGTTCAATATTGAATGCAAATTTGTTTATGAAACTAATTTTACTGGTTTAACTTTTAATGGTCAACCAGAAAATGCATTTATTTTCAGAAATAAAAGTCGATATTTTCTGTAAAACGATTAAGTTCAATTTTCAATCAAACCGGCAGCATTCTTTGACCAAAAGAGTTAGAGAACTGAAACTTAGCATTCGTGCAGAAAAATTGTTGTTAAACATCAAAGACTAAACACTTTTTTCAATTCAACATCAGTTCTTCCGATTTAGGCCATTGAACTAAAAACTTTGACCATCAAAATCTCGAGAATGGTAGCATCTGAAACCATCATTCTTTGACTTATCATTAGATTTTAATATGGAATAAAATATAATGAATTTATGAAAACCTGAGTTGAAAAAAGACTGATTTAATCCATTTATTAATGAATATCTGCCTTAAAACACTACAAAACATCATAAGAATTGGGTTTGATCAATCATTTACACTTTTACAAGTGAAAGAAGCAATTAATTGACACAAATGCGTCAAAAATGGGCAAAAATTAATTTCTTTCAAATTTAAACTTTGTTGTTTGGTACGGACATGAAAGCTGAGTCCATTAGCGCTATTAAAAATTAACTCTGATCAATAGTTTTAGAGAAATTCGAGGTCAAAGTTAAAATTTCGATCGCTTTCTGTACAATAATGGCGATAGATCTTTTCACGAAACTCATTTTGCTAGTTCAACTTTTGACTGCCAACCATAAAATGTACTTATTTTAACAAATAAAAGTTTCGATTTTCTGTAAAACAGATCAGTTCGATTTTCCGTTAAATCGACCGCATTCCTGGACTACAAGAGTCAGAGATCTGAAACTTATCCGCCGTCCAAAACATGTGTTGCTGCACATATTGTATTGAAAACTTCTTTCAATTTAATAACAGTTCTCCCGATTTCGACCATTGAACTAAAAACTTTGAGCATCAAATATTTCGAGAATGGTCGCACTTAGAATCCTTATTCTTTGACTGATCATTAGATATTACTATGGAATATAATATACTGAAATTTCGAAAGCCTGAGTTGAAAGAAAGTCTGAATTAATTCCTAAAATAATGCTTATCCTTTATAAAACGCTTCAAAACATCATAAGAATTGGGTTTCATCAACCATTTATACTTTTTAGAAGCAAATGAAGCAACCGATTGACACAAATGCAACGCAAAGGACCAAAAATTAATTTCTCTCAAAATTAAACTTTGTAGGTTTGCAAGGACATAAAAACTTAGTACTGCAGTGTTAATAAAAAGTTTGTGTGAGCAATAGTTTTCGAGAAAATTGAGGCCAAAGTTGTAACTTCGATCGCCTTTATTTCAATGATGGAACCAGATTTTGTCATCAAAATCATTTTACTTGTTTAACTTTTAATGATCAAACAGAAAATGCATTTATTTTCAGAAATTAAATTTTAAGTTTTCTTTAAAACAGATCAGTTCGATTAACAGTTTAACCGACCGCATTCTGTCCCCATATCAGTTAGAGAATTGAAACTTAGCATTTATGGATAAAAATTGTTGATACACATCTTGATTAAAATATTTTTTCCAGCTCCACGACAGTTCTCTTGATTTAGACCATTGAACTAAAAACTTTGACCATCAATATCTCGAGAACGGTGGCCCCTAAAATCATCATTATTTGATCAGGATTAGGTTTTATTCTGGGTTATAACATGTTATGTTGAATACATGTAATGAAGAAAATCTGAGTTGATTCATCCAATAATTTATATCATTCATAATAGAAGCTTTACTTTAAGCATATGAAGCATCGAATCTCACAACTCAAATAATGAAATGCTATAACTTTTTTATTCCAATTATCTAGAAATTGCATCATATTGTAGCCCATAACAAAATCTAACTAGAGACCAAAGAATGATGGTTGCAGATGCTACCATTTTCGAGATCTTGATGTTCAAAGTTTTTAGTTCGATGGCCTAAATCGCAAGAACTGATGTTGAATTGAAAAAAGTGTTTAGTCCTTTATGTTTAACAACAATTTTTCTACACGAATGCGGAGTTTCAGTTCTCTAACTCTTTTGGTCAAAGAATGCTGCCGGTTTGATTGAAAATCGAACTTAATTGTTTTACAGAAAATAGAAACTTTTATTTCTAAAAGTAAGTGCATTTTCTGGTTGGCCATCAAAAGTAGCATCCGTGAAATGTGTTTGATGAAAAAATCTGCATCCAATATTGAACAAAAAGCGATCGAAGCTTCAACTTTTGACTCGATTTTCTATGCAACTATTGATCGGAGAAACTTTTCAATAGCACAAATGGACTCAGTTTTGCCCCTCCAAAGTTATACAGTCCCAAATCTCAACTTGAAAGTCAAAGTTTTTCGACAATCCTCTTTTCTAAAAATGTAAACCAGAAAACTCATACAATCACTAAAAACTGGTGATTTAACCTAAAATAAACTGCTAACGATGGTATAAGCTTTAACAAAGTACATTTTCTTGTTGCCCATCAAAAGTTACATCAAATAAACAAGCTTCATGGAAAAATCTTCGCGCATAAATGAGCAACAGTCGATCGAAGTTTCAACTTAAAATGCGATTTGCTCGAAAAGTATCGATCAGAGAAACTTTTCAATAGCACAAATGGATTCAGTTTTTCCCCTGCAATGCTAAACAGTAACAACGCTTAACTCGAAAGTCAAAGTTATTCGACAATCCTCCTTTTTGCAAAATGTAAACCAGAAAACTCATACCAAACTCATACAATCATTAAAAACTGGTAAAACCTAAAATAAATTGCTATCCATAGTACAAGTATTATATAAGCTTTTCATTAGCACTAATGGATTCAGTTCTGCCTTGTGGGACTCACAAGTAACATTTCTCAACTCGAATGGATAAGTTTTGTCAATACTCCTTAAATATTTTCCGTTAATAATTAACGCAACTGTCTTATTACTTTTAACTTTTAACCGAAAGAACTGAAGAAAAAGATTAACAGTTGCCTAAAACTGCTTAACAAGTCAAAGATCAGACCATAACTCAATCAAAATGCCAGACATTGTTATATACTTGGATGCAGCGAGGTGTTCACGAAAAATGTATTGAAAGATTGAGAGGAATGATCAAATAACTAAGTGATTAACAACTATTGATTTGAGATGATTCGACTTGAGAGCTCGATTATTTGCTGTACACAGAGATGCATAATTCCAGAACTAATAATGGTCCAAAGCAGATCTCAGAGACAATCAAAATTCTATGAATTCTATATCAAAGTCCATGAAAACTAAATATCGACGCAACCACAAATGAAGTTCAATTGAATGATCCTTCCTTTCTTCCTTTGCAACCTTTGTACTGAAGGTGTTGAGTATTACTCAGTTGCTCATCTACACTGCATGAAAGCAAAGATTGTAAGACAAAGTTTCTTATTGAAAACGATAGAAGTTTCCGCATTTTCGTTGGTAACAATTGCATAATTGTTATTAGTTATATAATCGCCGACTTCTAGGTTATTATGACTTTATAACCCATTGAAATCATCTGACATTGATCATGAAATGCCATCGTATTTTGTGTAAACTGAAGCTAAGAAAAATTTAAATTGTTACCAAATAGAAATCAAGGAAGTAATTAGTAAATTGTAACTAAGTAACAATTTTCCATGTAATTTAGGAAAATCATTGTCACTGTTGAAATTGGATAGCAACAATTAATCTTCATTTCTATCTTCAATGTTTGATTTATTGGCTCTTTGGGACTTTTTATTTTGAACTTCATTTACTTCAAGTCAAAATCCCAACAGTGTTCAATTGTAATTCCGATTTCAACTCAACTACATCTATGTCTAGATAATATTACGAGAAAATCAATATTATATTTAAAATGATAAAATTGACCAGAAAAGATGTTATATCAATGTTTAAATTGCTTCGGGTTGATGTTTTTCTAGTATTATTCAACATTAGCTCGGTCATTGTCCACTTGAGTTTAAACCAACTGGTTGAGGATAAAATTTGTCTCAATGAACTAAAGCTTAACCAGTCTATTTGTTTAAACATTGAAAATGTGGATGAATCAAGAGAAGCGGATAAAAATTACGTTTTAACCCGAGCAGCTTATTACAAGAATTATCAGAGCCTAATGATAACTTTACCTGGAATCTTTTTAAACCTTTTTGTCGGGTGCTGGCTCGACTCATATCCAGAACATACTAAATTCATTTTGGCTGTTCCAACTTTAGGAATCTTTATGGATGCATTATTAACCATCATCAACTGCCTTCAATTCAAAGCTGGTAAGTTGTTACTATATTTTTGGTAATTTTTCCGTTTCATATTTCATTATGCAGAATTTTTTTCGTTATAATTAACCTACTCTCTTATTAACAGATTACAGATTCATTCTTATAGCTGCTTTTTTCAGAGGAATGGGTGGTGACATCTCAATCATATACGTTGGTGTTTATGCATATGTTACCCGTAAAACATTGGCCGAATTTCGAGCTGTTAGGTTTGCTGTCCTCGAGTTTTTCTCTGCCATTTGTAAGTATTTGAGTTTGGGTCTGCTTCGACTTGCTCTAAATCACCCCTGTCTTTAGCCTTTCCAATAAGTATTTATCTAGGTGGGTTAACCCTCACATCTAAACCTTGGATTGCTGGTCAACCACGAAATTACATTGGAGTTTACATTTTATCCGGAGCTTTTAGCTTATTAGCTGCTGTTTGGGCGCTGGTGTTATTGAATGATTCAGGAGAAGCAGTTAAACAAGAGGAAGATGAACAGAATGGAGTGGGCAAAGAAAGCTATAAAACTTCGAAATTGGAAGCTAAGACGCCAAGTAAGCCGGGCAAATGTTTGTGCAGTTTTATTCATGCATTTTCAAAGATTTTCAAATACGAAAACCTGAAAGCCATGATGCATACATGTTTCAAAAAACGAGAAAATGGTCTTCGATGTCGTATTTGGCACACCATTGCGATAGCATTTTTCATTCTTAGCGGTTACTTGAGTGAAGTTGCTATTGGATTTCCTTTCGCTCAAAAAGTTTATCATTGGAATGCCAAATATTATTCAAAAATTTCACCCCTTTTTATGTTATTAACTTCAATTAGCTCTTCAGTTGTCACACCAATTTTAGTTAGTAAATTTGCCATAACTGATACAAAATTGAGCATTATCGGTTGCATTTCGCTAATATCATCAGCAGCTATTAGAGGGTTCTGGTTATCATCAACTGGTTATATCGTTTCTCATAGTGTTGGTGTGCTTTCTGGTCTCCAACTCATTTCAATGCGCTCTTTTCTTGCTCGAATGATAAAATCAGATGAAATTGGCCAAATTTATTCTCTACTTGCTGCAATCGAAGCTTTCTCTCCTTTACTGTGCAATATATTTTTTACGACAGTTTTTAATGCAACAATCAGTTTTAATCCCGGGATAGCTTACCTGATTTCATCTGCATCAATGATTTATCCGCTAGTTGTAGATATATGGTTGGACTGGACCAAATCTTCTTGGTATTAATCTATTTTAGCGTTTAACAATCCTAGGTTAGATAATTTTGATTAATTATTATTGATTATTATTCTATTCTGTTATGTAATATAAGATGAGATAATTTTTCTTGAAATGTATTAATGTTATGGAAACAGTTTATTTTAATAAATAATATAAACCTTTTATTTAAAAATTTTGTTCAAAATTAAAATGCTGAAGATTTAGTTTAATAGATCTCATGCATTAATTGAGTTTACAACAAATCAAACCAACAATTGATTGAATCGTAATAAATTTTCGCTATTTTAGAAACCTTGTTGATTTTGTTATGTTATTTTTGGTTCAATTCAATCTTTTCTGCTTTCATGGCAAACATTCTAACTGGATATAAACCTTTCGGAAATTGATATTGTCTTTTTTCTGAAATTAAATTTAAACCAGCTTTTGTGAAAATGTCCTTATAAAGCCAATGTGGTCTAGTCACTGAACTATCGTTCATATCATCATCGATTTCATCTGAGGAAGTATGATTATCTTTTATTATGATCAATCCGTCTGGCTTTAATATTTGTCGACATTTTAGAAGGAAATCGATGAAATGAGTATCAGTTAAATGTCCAGTAACCCATTGACACCAAATTACATCATACTCGATACCTTCGTTGGGCTTGAATTCATGTAATGATGAACAATAAGCTTGACCAATCCTTTTATCATAAATATCTGGACCAATGTGGTTACGAGCTTCTTCAAGGAATGATTGGTTTACATCAAGAAGATCTACAACATGGAAAAAGTCCAGCAATAGATTTTTGGTAACACGACCGATACCAGCTCCACAATCTAAAGCACGTCTTTTGTTTTCAGACTTTAATTGATGATCAATGGGAACTGAAAATAAACGATTGGTGATAGGTTAGATTTACAAGATATGCATTTACAGGTCAAATGTTATTTACCTTTTTTCTTGTCCGGTGGATTCAGTGGCTCAATAAATTGGGATAAAAATTTTTTAGAACCTTTAATGTCAATGTTTGAGATGTGAGCAAAACCACCGAGCATTCCATCAATAGTAGCATCAACAGTTTTCCAGTAATTGGCTCCTTTGTCATAGAAATCATCTGTCACCTTTGAACCATTAATAAACATGGTTGACTTATTACTAAAACTTGCCTTTGAAGGATAGTAATCAATTAGTTTATCGACAGTAATTTTAGAGCAACAAAATATCAGCTGATGCAAGTTCAGTAAAAATATTTCAAGAAATAACTAGCGTAATTAAATAAATCTTATGTTGATCACACATATGAAAAAAATAATGACTGATTTAAACGCAGCAATTATAATTAAAATTAAATAAAATCACATGTACTATTCAAAACATATTTTTATTTTAAATATTTTTCAAAGTCGCGTTGCTTTTTTGTAACACAAAGTTAGTACAAGCGTGAATGTTTGTTTCTATGGAGACCCATGTGTATGTTTTTATTTCAATATTTAAACGTTTTGAAGCAATATTTCTTGTTTGAACTACAAAATTAATTATAATTTAATAAATGACATGAGTTTTCCTATTCAAGATGAAGTGTCCAAGGAATTGATACACACTTTGAACCAATGGGCTGTATCTGCTGGCATCGATGTCGATTCATTTTTGGAAAAGTTTAATAGCCTATCACCTGATGATGATAGAGTCAGCACTATGCTTCTTGAACAATCTTTGGTTGATTGTTTTACTGATCGAATGAAAGCAGCTTTGTTGGACAACAGTGACGAGAGACTAAGTAAATATCCAAAATGTAAAAGTGACCAAAAGGCCAAGGAATTTCGCTTGAAAGGTAACAAATATTATTCAGATAAACAATTTGGAGAAGCTCACAATTGTTACACACAAGCTATTCGATTTGCCGTTGATAATGGATCGACTGAGGATAACCAACTGTGTTTATCGTATGCGAACCGATCGGCTATCAACTATGAATGTGAAAGATGGAAAGAAGCTATCAACGACATAGATATGGCAATTAAACATGGTTACCCACAAGAAAAGATTGATAAATTGTTGAAAAGGAAATTAAAGTGCCTGGATAAACTTAAAATTGCTAGAGATGTACTGCCGCCTGATAATCAAACTAATGAAGATGAAGTATCAAAACTAGTTGAATCGCTTAAATTGGACCTGGATGATATTGAAGAAATTGAGGAACCCGTCATTGAAAAAGTCAATCCAGAAATACCGAATGCTTCAATGAAAGTATCAATAACGTATGATCCCAAAAAAGGTAGAGGCTTAAAAGCTAATGAAACCATTAACTTTGGAGAAATTCTGGTTAAAGATGTTCCTTATGCTCATGCATTGTTCTCTGATTGTTATGATGACTATGTCAAAATTGTTGTAAACCATTTGATGGATTTAGCGTGCCTTGTCCAGTTTGCCCAGTAGTACAATATTGCTCATTAGACTGTCGAACCTCTGATGAAGTTCATGTAAAATTCTCCTGTCACCCTCTCATACCTAATATCAACGATCCATTGATTCAGTTAGTGTTAAGGTTGATGACCAAATCACTGATGGAACAAAATTCCCAATCAATTTGTGAAAACCGATCGGATCAAATTTACTATTCTGATTATTCTAGTATAAAGAAACTCGCTTTTTCTCCAACAATCTCGAGTGATCTGGTTCTTGCATCTCTCTTTCTCAGTATATTAATTCAGACAATCTATCCATCATCAACCGAATTGAAATCTTTACCATCGTTGAAATCTCTGGTATCCTTAAGCTTGTTACATTTTCATCAATTATTGATAAACAAAACATTCTTAGTACATAATGAAGATTCCGTCGTCTTTTCAACTCTATCTCCTCATCAAGCGAACGAAAAAATTGGTTTAGCCATTTATCCGACTATGAGTTTGGTTAATCACAGCTGTCAACCAAATTCTTTCTTATTCTTCTTCCACGAAAAAGTCATTATAAGAGCTTCACAAACCATCGAATCAGGACAGGAATTATCTATCTGCTATGGGCCCAGTTATCAATCCCATACTTTAGCTGATCGTCGTAAAAAACTCCGTGATTGGTATTACTTTGATTGTAATTGTAATGCTTGCAGTAAATCTTTGGAATCAACACAAATTTGTTATAAATGTCCACGTTGTGAAGGCCCACTTATCGTGAATGAAGATGGTTCAAATAATTGTCTATCATGTAAACAAGAAGACATATTGCCGATAGAAATAAAGAAATCTGTTGAAGATGCTCTAGCTGATATGGAGAAAGGTAGAAATTCCTACGAATCAAGTGAATATGACGATGCTATCCAGTTATTATCCAAATCATATAATACTATGGACGATTATTTGTACAGATCTAATTGGAATTTATTGCGTTCACGGACATTTCTGTATGAGTGCCTTGCATCAATGGGTCATTATGAGATGGCAGCTAAGTTGTGTGCAGTCAATGTTAATGTAACTAAAGAGATACATGGAAATGAATCAGTTGACTATGTAATCAGCATGATTACTTACCTTGGTTTGATGTATAAGGATCTTGAAGATATTGTCACAGAAGATTTGACCAAAGCTGAGTTAAAGGCGAATCAAATTATTCATTTAGTCGATGAACAAATAGATAGATTGGTACGGATTGCTCAATTGGCAAATACCTCTAGTGATCCAACAAAAGTTTTTCACCAGGAAATGAATAATTTAAAAGCCATCAAAGAACAATGTCAACGAATAGATCAGTACATTAATTCACAATCTAAAGATCAAAATCAATAATTTCATGGCCAAAGCGCAAGTGAAATTGAATCACGATTTAAATGATGCACCTTTAAGATGACTATTGTAACATGATATTCAAAATATTTTTGGGTAAAATAAATTTAAAATTCAAAGAAAAACTATTACAAAAATCAACCATTGAGAAGTTATTTGATCACTAGCATATACAAATTACAGCGGAAAGTAAACAGTTAGATGGACAAATTGTTGATCGATGTTTAGGTGGAAATTCTATTCAATTTCTATTCGATTTAAATTGCGAATATTGGGAGTCAGGTCTTAAAACTACTAAAACTGGAACTGGTAAAATCAATTACAAGTAGTAGTACGTTTGCAAAACAAGCAACTTGTGAAACTAAAAAATGAAAAGACTAACGTGGAAGTCACTCATTTTCAGGGAGTTAATTTAAACATAGATGAAGCATCAATTCTGAGACTTGTATGAAATTGTGATATGAATTTTCCGCAACCAATATAAATAAAATCGCAAGTTATTTAACATTTCCAACCATAGGTTGATCTTTTAATTATTAAACAACTTAAGGTAAGATTAGTTTATTTAGCTTTTCCAGGAAGGATAATTCCATCATATTTCTGTTGGAACCATTTCATTGATTCCTCCCTTGTTACTCGATGACGAACACCAAGAACGTTCTTTTTTCTTCTTCTATCTCTAACATTGTAACCGGCTCTACCGAGAACAACGAAGAAGTCCAAACCATAAATACCAATACCTGGATCGTACTTGATGCCAAGATCGATGTGTTCTTGGATACCAAAACCGAAGTTACCAGCATCGGAGAAGTTTTCCTTTCTTAATTCATATTCTTTGACCTGATGAAAGGATAAGACGCATGAGATGAGAAAAGTTTGGTAATGATAATTTAAAAATTAATCAAACATTTTCTTACTTTTAAACCTTTTTCAAGAATTTCTTCAGCCTTGGCTCCTCTAACAGTACAGTGGACAGCGATTTTTTCATTCTTACGAATACCAAAAGATCTAACTGTATATCTAGCTTTAGAGAACACGGGTTGTTGTCCAGTTAATTGTTCTAACACCTTAGCAGCTCGAGTAAGTCTGTCACCAGATTCTCCAACACAAATGTTCAGACAGAGCTTTCTGATGCTAATTGCTCTCATTGGATTATTTTCATGCTTCTTTTTCATAGGAGCAACGGGCAACATTTGCTGCTGGGCGGTTTTGGATTTGCCCTTTTTCTGAAATACCTTTTTCTAAAGGAGTCAAAGGAAAGAGAAATAAAATAGAATTAATCAAATTGCGCTTGTAACCGCAAAAGTACTAACAAGACCTAGAAATAGTCTATGATAGGTTGCAGAGTGGTGAATAATCTCGGCCCAGTTATGAGCACCAATTAATAAAATTAATTGACACCTCAAAGAAGGGCCAGTAATCCATAAGATAAAATAAGACGGTAATTAAATAACTTACCTTGGCCATTTTGGATTAAACACAATATTAAATTAATTGATTGTTAAACTAAACAAGAGGAGCCACAGCAATACAAAACAGTCACCGAAATGAGAAACTTATGTTCGGAAACGGAAAGGTTGCTATGGGAACAAAATCCAATCTCACTTGTTTTTAGTAAAAACGCCGCTAAATATGATTTGATAAATATTATTCAAATTCAAGTCATTTAGTTTTTATAATTATAATCATTTAAAGATTAATTATTAAATGAGTAAGTGAAAAAGGAAGAAAAAATTAAGCAAATAGTAACGTTAAATAAGGAAAAAATAACGCTATCCAATTTTATATTTCAACGCATGATTCAAGTATGAAGTTCTTGTATTTTAAAGAAACTTTAGATTAAAATCATTATAGTGGTCAGGGTTAAGGCAACAAAATCTGAGATTGTTTCATAGTCCAATGAATAAAATTTCATTTTTTCTACTCACGATTTAAATTCACAATTCACTTAAAGAAAAATTGTTATCCTATTCAAACTTCAATGCTTAAAAGACAATCACAGACTTAGCATGCAGTATCGGCCGATCATTGAAAATACAACTATGAAATAATTAAACGAGGTGATATAATCAATTTTGATTTAACTTCTACTTTAATATTATTTCTAATAAATTTTAATCATCTAGGACAAACGATCATCAATCATTGACCATGATCCTTATTCAGTCGCAGACAATTTATTAATGCCGCTATAGTTGGAAAAAGTCTGGCAAAATGACATTTAGGAAATTACAATTTGTAAATTTCAGAGCAAAGATTATATTAACGCCTTGTAAAATGTCTCAAATGTAAATAAGCATAAGTAAACATCACGCTGGCAGCAAATAGCGATGAAAGAGTTATATCAAGCCATCTATTTGGAAATTCATTTTCAGTTTCGTTCGGCTTCTCTTCGGTAGCTAAATTTTAAAAGAAAGACACATTAGTTTTATTTTGCTATGTCCACATATCTGAAATATAATATCAGGTTCATCTGTAAATTGCAGATTCGTAGAATTTTCTGTACATTATAAATCACTTATTCTGACGCAATAATGAAAGAAGTATTGCAAATCAAAATCACGCAATTTGTAAATGATAAACCTGATAAAAAGTTTATAAAAATATATTTACTTTCTTGGACATCAGGAAAATACGATCTCTTTATCCTTGATAAGTAGGTCGGTAAATTAGGTAAATTGTTGATTGTACTTTTGAGAGGATTGTAACTTGGAAATGGTATTGTACAAAGCGCTAAATAACCAAAAACATAAGCATCGAAGATGGTTGGTGTATCCCCGAAAAAATACTTTTGTTCACCGAGTTTTTGAGAAAGCAATTTCAAACACTTCTCTGCTTCTTCAATCATGGATTTTTCTTTCTCAGTCCATCCTTCTTTGTCACCAATAAGAATAGTTAACTTATCAAGCTGTGAACTTTGATATCGATCAGGCAATATTAAGCTTGCTGGGAAAGGTATCCTTTTAGCATACCAAGGTCTGATAAAACTTGAATAATTTCCATCATTGGCCCAATAAATATATGACTGCGATGCAAGTTTAAAAAATAAACATGAATTTCCGCGGAATATTTTTACATCTACTTCTGTATAATTGTACTTACGAGAGCTGGTTCAAGCTTTTGACTAATGATTGACATGTATGCTTGAACGTCGAATAATGCTTTACTGTTCAACTTTAGATCACAATTATAATTCTAGAAAACAGAAAATTGTTTGAATCAATACTTTAAGAATTTCTCATCGATTTGTCGATTTAAATAGGATTTTAAAATATACCTGGCGTTGTAAATAAGCGGTTACATCATTGAAAGTGTTCAGTCGCACATTAAAGCCATGGCTGAATGAGGGGACACGATAGATAACATTCCAAGATCTATTAATTTGATTTACTTTTACAGGAGCACCAGAAAACTTGCAATAAGCCTTTAAAAATAAAGTAAAATTTCAAATGAGGTAAAGTGGAAATGAAAATGGACTTAAAATTTAGTGAATTGGTAAATAAACGCGACATACCAACAATTGAATCGAGGTAAGGTCCAAAGACGGTAAGCCATGATCCCCAGGCCAGACAACCAACTCCATAATCTTGAATCAATAAAAATCAATCAAATTTATTAGTTATTTTATCACTTTAAACAAAAACAATTAAACCACGAGTTTAAACCAGCTGATTAAGTAACCAATGGAGACGCTGGCCCAAAGAGTATGTTTTTCATGTTTTTCTTGTGAAAACAGCTCCAATTTTAGTATTTTTAACACCCAATTTCAGTCGTCTCTAATTGCAACAATTTAATTTTGTTTTAATAATCTAACCATGCCACTAGAAGATGATATCGCTAAAAAGATGGGTGATCTTTTATTGAAAGGTTATTGTTTACTGGACCAATATTGCTCTGTGTGTGGGGTAAGTAGGCTGGTTTAATATTTGTTCATATTGATATGGTTTTCATTCATTATGTCTAATCAATTTTATTTTTCTATTTAAGAATCCTTTAATGAGGTCAAGAGATGGTACAAATATTTGTGTAGCCTGCAAGTCCTCTAAAGCTGTTTCCGAAAGTAATCTGAATGGCATGGAAGAGCAATCAACTGCATCTTCGAGCAATGAGGCAGATATATCCGAAGCTTCGTCTATTCCATCTAAAAGACCTCGTGTTTTCCAAGATAATTGTGAGAAATTCAGTCTTCCAAATGATGTTTGGCGTAATGAATCAGTTCCTCGTCTATTGCGAAAAACTGTTCAACAAAAATTATCTTGGGCATCATCTCGATTATTGGTGGATTCAATCACCTCTCTAAAACTTCTTGAATCTTGTATTAACTTATTGACCATAATGGAAGTTGATCTCAATGATGCTCCCGAATACATGATAACCATGCTTAATTTGGAGAAATTTGTTGAATCTGAACAGAAACGTTTAGCAGATTGCTTCGATTTACATGAATGTAATAGGATTTGCGATTTAATCACCTCAACTTTGAGAGTAATGAAAAGTTTGGATCAAGCTGTAACCAAATTAAATCGTTTGTAATTTAATGAATTCTCAGCCATATTAATTTACCGGGATCAAGTCGATTGTGGAAGCTAATCCATCTAATGTACATTGACGTCTTACATTTTATCTTTATAGCTCAAGCTCAAATAGACCAAATGTAATAAACTCATAATTTAATTTTAATTCATTTGTTATATAGATCTATTCTTTACACCTATTTCACGTCTGATTAGCTTGTGATGTAAAATATTGAGCTTATGTCTTATGTCAAGTCAATTCGATCAATCATCAAGATTTATTCAATTTAACTAAATTCCGAAGAAAGTCCGTTTACCTTGGATTTATCGGAAAAATTGGAATCAAGTTTAGATGCTCTCAATGGATAATGGAATGAAAATTGAATTATCTAAAAATGGTATTTATCTCGCCCATTAAAGATCAAATTTCATGCAACTATCTAATTAGAAATAGATTATATTTATTGATTGTATTCATAATAACATCAAGATCTTTGTCTCGGCATACCATAAAAATGAACATAAAACTATTAGTTTAAAGGTTGTCAAGGCTAGGAACTGTCCTTATTACAATGATAATGCTATTCAAATAATCAAACTAATGATTGATATGTTTGGTCTCATCATTTTACTTTTCAGGTAATAGTGAAATGATGAATGTTTTGCACTCATTTTCGTCATCTATTACAGAATTTAATAATATTGATTCATCACATGTATCATCATTTGAATTCGAGAATTATTAAAGCAAAATCAAGTTAGATAACTTAAATCGGAGGCTCTCATTTTCCTTTAAATAAAAGATAGCTAATAACTACCAGTTGAATTAAAAGATAAGATATGATAAAGAATTCATAATTGCGTTCTCATCAAGTACACTCTTGACAGATCAGAGCATAAATGTAACAATTCAGATTGATTGCTAAGTACATGTAATACTCTGAATATCATCCGAACAAAATTTTAGATCTGACAGTGGATTTGGTAGTGAAACATTGACTTCAATATATGAATGCTTAATCATAGAGACAATGCAAGTTGCTGCAAATCGACATTAGCTTTCAAGTTGACTTGTCTGACTAACAAACAGACAAGGTTAAGCGTATCAAAATTTAGATTCAAGTTTAATTTAATTTTTTTATTTAAATCTGATTCACTTTTGTGAACATTGAAAATTAAAGTTAGTAGTGATAACAATTAAAAACCGAGTAAAGGACAAAGACAGCAATTGTAGAAGGAAGGAATCAGGTTGCCCTAAATTAGCCCACCTATCATTGAATTGTGTTCCTGAATAGGGTAGTGGACTCAAAAAAAACTGCAACTTAAAATGAGCTAGTGAAGGTCAATGGGAAATTGACTTGGCTGATATAACAATTGAGTCGGAAAGTCTAAGGAAATTAGTTAGCCTTTGAGAAATATTCCTTGCTGGATTGTACATCAGGAACAATAGTTTTGTCTCCGGGTTTCCAGTTGGCAGGGCAAACTTCACCGTGACGGTCGGTATATTGGAAGGCCTTGACCAATCGTAAAGTTTCGTCAACTGATCGACCAACGGGTAAGTCATTGACGGTGATTTGTCTAAGAATACCTTTATCATCGATAATGAAGAGTCCCCGGAAAGTGATACCATCATCAGCACGATAGACTCCATAGCTTAAAGAGTTGCTAAGATTTTTGTCAGCCAACAAAGGAATGTTCATTTCTCCCAAACCACCTTGTTTTCGAGGTGTGTTGACCCATGCGAGATGAGTGAAGTGGCTGTCAGTAGAGCAAGCAATAATTTCACATCCAATATCTTGGAATTCCCTGACTCGATCACTGAAAGCAACAATTTCAGTGGGGCAGACGAAGGTACTAGATGAAAGAAAGAGAAAAGTTACGTAAGAGGAAGGCAAACGTTACATGACAATGCTACATCAGACTAGACAATGAAAAATCAGTTGGTTGATTTTAAACTACAATTGAGTAGACAAGATCAAAGTTGAAAAGAGATTAACAAAGAAATTAAACACTTACAAATCAAGAGGATAGAAGAAGAGGACAACATATTTTCCAGCGTAGTCATTCAAAGAGATTTCCTTGAAAGCTCCATTTACCACGGCAGTACCCTTGAAAACAGGTGCCGGTTTACCAATTTGAGGATGTTGGTTAGATGGAGTTGAGGTGATACCGTTGGTAAGTGGCATTGTGATTAAACAAATAGTGATTAATTTGAATAAAACTGAAAAACAACAATAAAGGTAAGATGAATAGAAGCGAAGTGATGAGGGGTTACGAAAGGCGTGATTCTTAATAAACCGAGATGAGTCTCGCAGTGGCAACTGATGATGGAAGAGATTAGGGACCATGCTTTAATATAACTTGCCTTTTATTGATTTAGTTGTACACTGATGATAATACTTGTTTTACTTTTTTCTTCCTCTCTTTGATTACCAGATTATTAAACAACAGTTTTGATTGGTGTCTTTCTGTCTACGTGTTGATCTACAATGTGAACCACAACCTCTGTTAAAGATGATTGGTTAACATAGAAAAACGAAACCAATGGAGATTTATGTGCTTTATCTACCTAAATCCAAACTGTATTATGCAAGTCTAGATCCAATGGAAGAGAGAAGAAAAAAATGGCAAAGAGGAAGATAAATAAGAAAGAAAAGTAAGAGATGAAAATGGAATAACAAAATGCCTTTTTTTCTAGTGCTAGTTGCTAACCTGCTAAAGGTCCTTTTGTACCCATTTAAAACCGGTTTTAAATATTGCTAACCAAAAAACAGGACTTTTCTTGCAAGGGAATCCTAAACCATTATTCAAGATTGCCAGAGGTTATCATTGATAAAAGAAAAGACAGTCTATTGACATTCATATTTTTCTTGATCATTAATAATTCAACGATGGATAAGCCATGTCATCGATGAGCTCATCTCTATTTTATCATTTCATTTGTATTTTGGACTTTGTATTTAGGGCCCAAGAGCTTCAACACTTTCCATTCAACTGACCACTTTGCTTATTTTTAGCCAAGCTTTCTTTTAATGTTTAAAATGAGTGATATTTCTTGTGTCGGTTCACATTTTATTTCAAAAATATTCAACTACATAAGTTTGAATTGAGATACTTTCAGATATTGTATAATGCTTACAAACCATATGTTTCAAGTTGAACTAGTGTTAGCACAAATCTACAGTGTAGCTATTGAATCGACAGAGACGATCACTTTGACGTCTTTTCTGGCTATAATTGGTAATTTAACTGACACAGATTGATTGTGATTGTTCAAAATGTTAAAATAAATTGTAAAATAATGGAAATTGTTCACGTTTAATTGCAAAATTGTCTAAATTATTCAAGAATACAACTCATCCATTTAGAAAAATGCATTTCTTTTTTTTCCTCAACCATGATGGACATAATTAAGGTTAATTCATGCTCTTACCAAGATGTGACAATCAAAAGCACAGTATAAAGGAACAGTAAAATACAGCAAAAAAGGACTGGACTGACTAATTAATCAATTCTTAATCAAAATGAACCGGTGCACTATTTGACTAATACACCTTCAAGGAAGGAGGAAAGTTGGTAGCTTATGCAAGCTGGCAAATACCTTGAGGTGGACAAAATTATTCAATAATGATTAAACGTTAACCATTTAGTTTGAATGATTTGAGAATGAAAATCATACCATGATCAATCAGACACTGATTATGAACAAATGACATTAAACAAGAAATCAACTGATTGAAGTCCTTGATTGTTGCAACGGCTGGCAATACCAATAAGATGGATAAAGTAAATTTAAAATTGACTTGAAATCATATAAAAATTGATTATTATTAAAGTTGTAATTTATTTCAACCATTTTGTTTAATAATAGCTGTAACAATTGTTTTATTATTGCATTGAGCCTACAATTGACCATCAAAAGATATGCGATAAAATAACATAACGTCAACGTTTGAGTAAACCTTTTAATGAAGGGTTTCAACCATAGATCTGAATCTAGAATAGGAAATATTTAACAGATGAATGAAAACTCTTGCAGTTGTTGATGAAAAGATACAATTTTTGGGTAAATCAAAAAATCAAAGGTAAGTTACGATTCGACAAATTTTTGACGCTTCAACTTACACTTTTTGGGCCAATCTTTGGTCATATTATGCTTCAATTTACTGAGAGTAATCTTGTTAATTTTGACCAATTTTGAAAATAAATAAAATTGTGATTTATAAATTATTTGCCAACACTGTAAATATTTTTATTTTTAACAATAGGGATAATCTTTTCCTGTTGACAAGTAAAATGAACCTTCGCCTGAATCTTCATTGCTTTTCAATCCCATTCTTGCAATGGTGTGTGGCTCATCACATTTATCGCTTGTGAATTGTTTCCATGATTCGCATTTGGTCGACTTGTATTCACATTGATTTATTGAAGAAAGGAAAAAGTCAATTGCTGCATAATGGCGACAAGTCATATTGAGAAATGGAAATGGACAAAAGGGTTGATCAGATCCGCCATTTGGATAGAAATCTTTGTGGCCAAAAGGTGTTTTCGTTCCTAACCTGCCCAAAACAACACTGGCAATCGATCCAGAGCTTGTATGGATCCCATCAACATAAACTGCATCAGACTTTTTGATTTGAATTATTGTACCATCAATAAAAGGTCCAGCAGCGTCTAAGCCTATTTTAAAACAAGCAAATTGATTTATCTAACTCTTTACAACTCTCAGTTTCAACAAAATTAATATTCATTTACTTTGCTGTTAGTCTAATTACCTGTGATTCGACCTAAAGTCAAGCTATACTGTTGCTTCAGCCATCGACCAGCAAGACCAGCAATGTGAGCACCAAGACTAAATCCAACCAAATGGACTCGAGAAAGATCAAGACCCCGTTCAGTTTGTAAACGATACAACAGATAACCAATTTCTCGTCCTGTCAATTGGCAGTTAGCGACATTTTTAGGATAAAGAAGGCCACTTGCAGCCTTACTCCAGTCCACTGACACCACTACATCATATTTTGCTAGTAAAGGTGTAAACAAGTTGGTATACCGAGACTCTTGTCCATTATCTAGCCAACCATGGATGATGAAAACTACAGATGTTGTTTCATTAAAAATATCATAATTGGAGGAATTATGGTAATTTATTTGCCGACTTTCGATGGGATCTTCAGCAGTGTAGACTCGGAAAATTGCCCCAATTTTTTCAGGTGAATCGGGTGTGAAAAAGATGAACCTAGTCCATTTGAAGCAACCGAAAATTTCGTAGCACACTTCATTCAAGTCTTGTCCATCAGAGAGGATTGGGTTGTTAACTAGAAGAAAACATAACAATATAATCTTAAACTGGCCTTTTAACTGTTTCAACATTATCGTCTATTAACTTATTGTTAGTCCAGATCACCTAATAACTCAACTAACTTGTTACATTGGTTAACAAAACAAGTTCAATCTTTCTCTGTTAGATTATTGATTTTCGACGTATTAATCAATTCACCTTTGCTGATTATTATGAAATTGAATCTAATCGTTGGATTTTATTTGATAATTATGCATTTTCAACTTGAATCATGAATTCATCTAAATCCACCCTTCTTCAATCCATTGTTTCTAATCACTTTTTACATGTGATTACTCTGGTTGTGATTATAACCCATTCCCTGATGTCACTTTGAAGGAATTTTTGAATTTTGTAGATTCATTTATTCGGCCAATTATTTAGGTCTAACCAATAATCAACCTACTAACATATTTATTGACAATTGACCAAAGCCTTCAAGATTGCTATTGAAGTAACTGATCAATTGATTGATCTTGATTTCAATGTCAATGTAAACCTATGCATATGTATTCAAGCTTTAATTACGTAGTTTGAATAAGATTTGACAAACAAACTTGATCATTCTTGGCTTGATCATGATCAGGGTTTGACAGCAATAATCTTATGAACTGAATAAGAGTAATTGTCAACACAATCTTAAAATCTATAAAATTGGTAGTTAATATGATTTTCACAATGATTGTTGGTTAATTTTTTGTTAGTAAAAGCGGAACAAAGTAATTCATCTGATTTGGAATGAAAACATAACGATTACGAGTGTCATGTATTTTAAATGTTTAAACTGATTGAAATGGATTGGTAAATTATCTTAGCTCGAAAGATAATTGAAAGAAAATCAAGTTAAAAGCAAAAAATTGTTTATCAAAAAGTGGATTGAGTTTACAGTTTATATTTTTTGCCTAATCTGTCCCAAATGTTTTGTGTCAACATCTTTAACATAGCAAACAATTAAGTATCAATTTACAAATTAGTCAGCTGTTGTTTTCCAAGTTCATCTTTGACAATAGTCATTAAAGTTGTTGACAACATTTCACCTATTCTACTGCGAATCACTCGCGTTCCCAAGTTGACAATAACCTCAAGCAAGTAATCCCATGTTCGTATTCCAGTAATATCCAACCAAATGTGATCAAGATGACGGACATCGAATATCTCAAGGTTCAAAGAGGATCCAGGTTGGAGAGGTTGAACCAGACGAATAAAGGTTGAAATATAAGTGATGTTAGATGTAATTTTTCCGGTTCTAGATGATTTTCCAACATTGATTTGCCAATCATAAGCTGCAGTCAAACTCTTGAACCCAACTGACAATTCAATGATCAGTGAATCCTTGAAATAAATTACCTTAACAGGTCCCATTCGTGTTAATGTGGATAAACCATTTATGGTTCCGTTGTAAATCTCCAGACTTCCAGTTAACTTGAAGAGTCGAAAATCATTAGAGAAATTTCTTGAATAGTCTGCCAACGAAAATGGATCATGACCTTTATCAACAATCACTGATCGAGTTCTGTTTAGCCATTGATCGATTTGAGCTTCACTTGTTGGGTAGATTAAATCTAGATTAACATTATCCCCTTTACTGATATAAGCATTTTTCAAGGAACTTTCAATAGAAGATAATAACTTAGATTTGACTGATTGGAACAAATTGTGAGATAAATTATTCTTCACTCTTCGTGAATAAGGAGCTGCTGCTGAATTTTCCAATAAACCAACATATCGTTGACCAAACTGTCCAAAACCAGCATCACATGTAACTTTAACTTTATCTTGAGATGAACCAGGATTTGAGAGAAGTCGAGTTTTTATCAGAAAATTAGTAAACTCCAATCCAAAAGAGCCATTAGCTTTGAATGGAAAGATGGTGAATTTACCGTCCACCATGTATTTACCATCCATATTAACTTTGGTCGATGCTGATGTTATATTTATCTCTGGATTTCCAAGGAACAACTCAATAGTAACTATCTGTTCAGGCTTCAATCCAGTCACAGAGACATTGGTGAAAGATGCTTTATAAGATGTAACTGATCCCTTTTCCGTTACATTAACTTCTGGTAACAAATATTGATTCTCAATCACACCAGTTAACCAGTTTCCCAAATCCAAAAGATTTTGTCCATTTGTTTTGGAAGAGTACAATTTGTAGACTTTACTGGCAACATCTTGAGCCTTTGAAGGTGCTAATCTTGCACAAAATAAAAGGGAAAAATAATTCACCAGATAAGAACGAAAGAATGAAACAAAGAAAATAAAAAAACGTTGTTTTATCAACTGATGAGTAACAAAGATGACTAACGCAAGTTTAATTTTCTTCAAGCAAAATCGTTGATGCAAACTTGAGTCACTTGACAAACAAAAGGTTAAGTTTAGACTTTTGAATAATCTTTGACAACTAAACTCTAAAGTCATCTTGTGACAAATAAAGACAACACTTACCCTGTCCATAGACGGTCAATACAGTTACAAAGAGAAACAAGAAAACAGTTGTACGATTGAAGACCCTGGTATCCATCTTGATATCAACTTTGAGAATATCTTTTTAGAGGATTTCACGATTGTTCATTACACAAGGTGTCTTGTTGAAGACGTTTAAACAACGGATGAAAAATTTAGGAACCAAAGCAGGAAAAGGTAAAGTCAAGCAACTTCAAATGTAGCCAAATTTGTAATCATTGTTTATATCAAACGCCATCAGTTTAACTTTTAACATATCGATCAGTAAAACAAAGTAAAATGTTCAACCGATTCGCAATTTTCTCATTTTTCAATCCCAATCAAAATAGGTTATAGCAAAAAAGGGAAATTGCCTCATTTTCATCAATTAGAACCCAATCGTAGCCAAGATAAACCAACCATGTCAACACTTTTTTTCTTATTCATTATCCACTGAAGTTGACTTTTATTTTCACTGTTTTTTTGTCAAAAATCCATTCATTTAAGTGAATTACAGTTAAGGTTGATTGTCATTGTACCTGCACCTTTTTTTTACCTTAAATTATCTCCATTCCAGCCAAGGTTGTCAATAAAGTTGTCAAAACAAGCAAATTGACAAAACCTTATAACAATCGACTTTTATGAACCCAAATGATGAAATGAAATGACAAATCAAACTTGCATCTAATTTTACCGTGATTTTTATTACAATGCATGTGTGAGTGGAGGACGCAAGATTTATTATTTGGTTTCCGATAAATTCAAGCCATTTAATCTAGATAATGCTTCTTAATCAAGGTGAATATATTTACCTTGATAACTTCTGTTTTAGGATATCTGTCGATTTTTTTTAATCTTTAAACACAAACTGAAGCTTTTTTACATGTGTTCATAAATAATAGCCAAGTTTTATTTTGGAGAGACTCTGGTTCAATATGAGTTTCAGCATTGGTACCTCAAGAAGGTCTCATTTTTTGGGCCGATTAGGAGATAAACCCAAAATTGAAAGATCCTTTATGGATGAGAAACATGGATTGACAGTGTATATTGTTTAATGTTTAATGTTTTTGTAGATTTTGGTACTTTTTTGATTGTAATCAACTCATCTTGAGACTCAAAGGATTGCATCGATGGTCATTTACTTTGTAAACATATGTAGATCAGAGTTGAAAGATCGCATTATTTTTAGTTTATCATATTTGTTCAGTCAATTGAACACATTTTTGTCCAAAAGTATCAAATTGTGATTAACTGGGAATTGAGTTTGATCATCATTGTTTGGTCATTGGAGAGTTGATCGATTGAGATAAAATTAACTAGTCATCAATGATCAATGTTATTCAATAGTTGTCAGCCTTGATATGGCAACATTTAACCGTGAAAATACTAAACTAAACTCATCAATATTTACAGTAATTGTGAGATACTTTTTCACTGGCTTTTCACCAACATATCAAAGAATGATCATTGAAATATGAATGCTGGTATTGTTGACAATAATTAAATCACAATTTGGGTCAATAACAATGAATAGACTCAGAGGATTTAATCAATTACATAGTCACTTGTTACGACTTATCAGAATCACTGATGTCACTGTTTAACCATAACTAACCCAATTGGTAAATAACAATCAAGTTTAACAATTTACCTTGATTTGATCATGAAACTGTGCAAATTAAAGATTCAATTAAGTTTAATAGCATTGGGGAAAAAATGAGCAAAAGGATTGGCTGTTTGATGCACTTACAGCAAATCTAGACCAGTGTCGAGGTCTTAACCAAGTCTATTATATAAAAAGTCTATGCAATTGTTCAGTGCAATAATAGTAAATTGTAATTATCAAATCTTAACATTCTCTTATTGTCATTTCAAGTGATAATTTAAATCGTAATCAAATATGTTTCTCTCGTTAACAATCATTCTTTTAATTGGTTCAGTCCACCTTTCAATTTGTTTCCCTTTCAACAACTTCAAACCATTCAGGCCTATCCACGACTTTGGGTTTAATGATTTACCTACAAATGATCCCGAATTGGATTCTTTTGCGGATTTAGCTAAACAATTTAACTCAACCCTTGAATCTGTTATCAACTCAACTAATGGTCAACTGGATCCATTGGTTGATCCTCTGTATTATCAAGATTTAACCAAATTCAATGCCACCCTTAACCAACAACTTCAACAACAAGAAGGCAATGAGTTTCTTCGTGATGCTGTCTTAGCTGTTATGTTTCAACAATTGAAGGGCTTTTTTCCTGGTTTAGATCTGAATCGATTTGAATTATTTGCCAAAGTTTTTGCTAATTTTTGGCCCACTATTCGTGATTTCATGCGAGATAATCCCAAATTTTTTGAAAACATTTATAACCGATTAGTCCGTGGAAACAGTTCCTCTGATGCTTCAATGGTCAACTTCACCACATTTTCACCTCAAATTTTGCTCGATTGACAGTGATTAACAAATCATTCATTGTAATAACTTTAACCAACCACATCTAGAAATAATAAATCAAATTATTGAATATTTAAAGTTGATAATTTTATTCACATTTGCAATTAAAATTTACTAGCATTTCCATTTTACTTTTCAATGGCATCCAAATCAGACTAATGAATTAAAAATTGCCAAAAACTACTGTTTCATTTCAATGAATGAGTTATTTTCCCACATAAGGTGCGAATACATTCACATGGCCTTTACCCTTAGCATATGTTTCATGGTTCCTCTTTGTATTAATTTTTATTGTTTTTAACCACATTTTGGTTTTTTCATCAAGTTATTTATTATTTATTTTTGATAGTGATTTCAGTAGCAACTTGTGAAGTATTTTCAGCTGTTTAATGATCAGGTTTTTGCAGCTTTGGTGCTATCTGAAAAGATAACATCAGATTCATTGGTGATTTTACAGTTTGCTAGCAAATCCCATATCATTTAACCGTTTTACATGTTTTAAACACTGTTTTCACACGTTAGCATTACGTCCAAACGCGGAATTCGTGAAATAAAATAAAAACCATGGGTTTCACTGCTTCAAGTAATCAGGTTGAGACAAATAAACTGTTAAAGGTTGAAATTTCCGAGTAATCAACAAAAGTGGGTTGAACTTGGTAACAAGCTGGTTATCAAGGCGCAACATTTAAAGTTGTCAAAATGAAAGGGTGATGAAGCAGAAAATGATTTTGATGGTGAAATAAGTGTTGTAATTAAAAGTAATTTTACAACAAAAGTGGTAGAAAAGATAAACGTGAGAGCAAAACATTCATAAAGAAAAACTGAAATATTGAATGAAAAGGAAGACGAAAGAATCATGGACAGTTGATTGTTTGAAGAGAAGCACGATTAATTAGATTTAAATGAGTTGAAGAGCTTGAAGATATTGTTGAGTAACAAAATCAGCAACTTCCTTTAGATGATTAAACAAAGCCTTGAGGTTACGAAGGTTGGTCGAGGTAGCTCTCAATAATTTTGGAACGGTCAAAGGTTGCTGTTGATGTTGGTGTAAAGGTAATGGTGATGGTGAAGGTGATGGTAGGTGATGATGATCATGGTTGTGAATCATGTTGTTGCTTGTATTATTGTTACTGTCATTGATATCATCAGAGTCAATCAAATAGTTAATCGGGACATCATTCAATATAGATGATCCACTGATTCCGTTGCTTGTATCAAAATCAAAGTCGTCGTCAATCGAGTCAGATCCTCTGCTGCTCCAACCTGAGTCTAGTGAAATTTTTTGCTTTCGATCACTTCCTGTATTGGTTGTAACGGATGATGACGATGATAGAGTTGGTGTTGATGATGGAGATGATGATGTTGAATCCGATACCTTTGATGATGGTCGGCAATAATCGGGATCAACAAAACCAACTTCAGAATCAATTGAAAACATAAGGAAAGAGCTGTCTATTGTCTTAGCCAACTCTTTGGCTTTAAGCTGGTTTAACCGACTCCCCTTATTGGCGCTGCTGAAGCTACTGTTGTCAACATCGTCAAAATCCACTTCAGTGAAATGACTTTTACACTTTTTAATTAAACAGTAAATTTCAAACAATTGTCGATAATTGCCCTTGGCCATTAATGTCGGAACCCATGTTACACCGTCCAAATTAATGTCTTTCAACAAAGTTGGAACAAGAACAGTTGATTCCATTGTGTTGACTGAATGTATAAAACCTTTGATGACATCAAAGAAAGATCCAGTTATTGGACCAGATCTTAACATTTTTGTTGGATGTATGGGTTTCTGTGAAAGATAATAATCTAAATTGGCCATCATTCCAGAATACATTGTTGATTTAAATTGTGTGATTTTGTAATATAAAGTAAGTAGCTTGACACAAATTCACTTATTATCAAATTGTCAACTCTTTAGTGTATTAGCTAACGTCTTTTTCACTTTTCCTTCCAGAAGATTCGCAAGTTTAAATCAAACCGTCAACATCATGCGACTGGAGAAAGATTAACGCGTTGAAAGGTTGTCCAATGGTCAATAATTAGTAACCGATGAAATCACAGTTGAAAGATACGTTTGTCAGCAATCGGACAGCCAAGGAACGACTGAGTAAATGGAAATCCGCAGAAGTCAAGTCCCTGGATTGGAAAGAACAAAGTTGTATAGATTAAAATAATTGTTTTTGGGGTCAACTGATTCAATATTGAAAACGATTAGCATCATGATATTCAACATCCTCATCAACATCAACTTTTTCATCACTGAAGCTTTTTGGTTTACTAAAGTTTGAAGCTGATTAAATGTAACCAAGGGATAAATGTTGATGACACCTTACCACTTGTTTCTCTTTCTCTTTCATCATCATCGTCATCTTCATCTTCATCTTCTCCTTCAGCTGAATTACTACTTACCTGAGCTCACAGATAAATTGGTGACCAAGTTATCGAGAGATTTATCTCGATTTTCCCGATCAACAAAAACCACTTTCACTTTCGAGTTTACACTTAAACTATCACCAACAACATATCCACTCTCTCAAAATTTTAACCACCCTCCCGCTCTCTTTTACTCCACTCTGTTGCCTTCATGCAGCTTCCTTGTTTCTTACTTTCCTTTCTTTCTTTCGATTACTCCCTTTTTAACATTCTTTCCCGGTTTGTCGATGAAATGAAACATTTTCAGCTCAGTTTTTTTTCAAGCTCAGTAAGTTTCCTTTCTCTCTATCTCTCTATCTCCTTCTCACTCTCGATTTTTTTCATCTTTCATCCTCCTACATTATCATGTATTCTCCCCCTCCATCTTCAAGGCTGGAATTGCCATCTCTCTTTATTTTCTTTCTCACCTGTCTTACTTCCCATCATCAACAACAGTAACAACAACAACAACAACATTATATTTCTTCTTTTCTCTCTTTTTCCTTACCGTCATCATCCTCTTTTCCTTCGATTTACTGAATAACCGCTACTTACCATAACCAAAAAGCCTCCGGCCTCTTCTTTTTAAGGTCGATCATGACAAACAAATTTTGTAAATCAATGTACACTGTCACAATTTAAATCTCAAATTATCACTTTCAATTGCCATCTCTTGAAAGTTCTCATTCACTCTGACATCATTCAATTACTGTTATACAGTTTTAAGACTTATTTCTCAAAATAATCCCAAAGTTCGGTCAACACTGACTTTGAATGTAACATTTTACAAACAAGATATGGGTACGTGATTGAAGACAAAAACGACTTATGGACTGGACTTAGATTGATTTCAAGGATAAAAGTGACACCAATAGTTGTTAAAGTTGTTGGGCTAACTTAGTGATAACCTCTTATAATCATGGAATGGAAAATATCATTTACAATTTTATAACAATTAGCATTATTTTTTTCCATTCTCATCAGCTTTAAAATTTTGAGGGAACTTTTTAACAAGGTTACAAACTCAATGGTTTTATACTAATTCAGTAAAACCAATTATATAAATTACAGTACAATAGTTAGAATATGAAATTTCTAATTCTAATGCAACCGTATCATGTCACGTAAATTAACCAGTGATCTATCAGCATTCAATTGTATTCAACAGCACTTTAACTTTAATCTTAAATCAATGTTTAATTTATTCAAAAAGCCCTCACCTTTTTTCAACCAATCAGTTGACTTATTTTGATTTCCACTGTTTGTTGAAATGATCATTTTTCGTGTCACTGGTTAACGTTATTGCTTTGACCCTTTCAATATGTATTAATCAATTATACAATCTATGTTTAATTTAATTTCTTTAGACTTGTTAATTAACCCATTCATCCACTAACTAAATGGAATCATTTTCAAATCAGTTGCTATAATGATCAGGTATAATTGACACTTTTACATTTTTTTAACATTTGAACTTTGAGTTTTTTTCTTTCTCCCATTGCAATTATTGTTCATTTTGTTAAACATTTTTTTCATTTTTCAGGTTTCAATGGCTTCCAGTTGACAATTGTATGCCTTACCAATTATCCAATTAATCAAAGCACAATGTGAAAGGATAAAGAATAGATATCAAGGAAAGATGGATAAGACGGTTTCAACTTGGTTTCACTGATCACTTCGAGTTAATTGATAAAAGTGGTATTCATTTTCCTGTTTGCTGAGTTATAATAACTACACCACCACCAACAACAGCAATAACAAAAAAAACAGTCAACCGAGATTCAATATTGACTTTTTTTCCTGTTTAAATTTTGCTTTTTTCATCATACATTCCTTCAAATCGCCTCTTATATTTATCGCCAGCGTGTTGTTGGTCACACACTCTAATGCAATTCAATGGATTTTAAGGTTTTTGGTGAAAATGATAAAATTTTCCTGCTCAGTAGAAAATTTTTCCTCCGCAACAGAAAATAATCAAAATTAACCTTCAATCTTACTCACTTACACTAATCATTCACTGAACTGCAAAAATATATACCTACTGTTGATCTTGTCGCTTGCAGCATTTAACGAGTCCAAGAAATAACGCCTATTCTAGGATATCTGTCGATTATTTTAATCTTTAAACACAATTTAAGCTTTGTTACATGTGTTAATAAATATGTTTTGTTTGTTTTCAGACAAAATTGTCTGTTGAAACGCGTATTGAGATTTTTCATGCAACTTATAAGTGATTAAATTTGATCAACTAAACTTGTAATTTATACTTTTCAATGCCTTTTCATTACAATCCAAAGTAAAATCACTTTACTGTTCGATCTCATTTTATGACCTTTCTCTTTATTTTTATCAGATGAAGTGATTTATGCTTTCTTTTCACTTTCTATTCTTTTTTAAATTTCGTAATTGTCCTGAAAACTGGTAAAATCATTGTAATCATTTCATCTAAGAATCGTATTCGAAATCTGTTCACTCTAGAAGATTCAATAGTCCAAGAAGTGACTTGGATGAATTACTACAAAGTTCATCCAGAGTGACTATCATTCAACAATCTTAAATTGTTAAATATTCAATCTTATTACATTGAGATTTCAGTATATTGAATACAAACATAAAGGCCATTTACGTTAACTTTAGATGGTTTGAAAAAATGAATTTCTTGTAAATCTTTTGCCATACTTTTTTGTTATTGAGAATTGACGCGAGGAAAATGAATGTTGAGTCGCTCAGTTATTTACTGATAGCTTCAGTATTCAAATCTCGAAATAAAATTCATGTAAATGTCAGCAATTGCGAAATCAATCTGAATCAGTGGATCAAGCCAATCGAAAAGCATTTATAATGGAAAAGGTTGTTCTCATTCCACTTGACCTGATCATGTTATATGTAGTTAAGTTATTGATTAGTCAATAGTGATTGCAACTGAATTTTAAAATGTTCATTTTCCGTATCTCTTTTTGCTCCATGTAATCCAGAAATGTTCATTGTTGTACAAAAAAAACGCATTCCGTATTTCGAATCAGTATCATTGTGATCAGGGAAAAACTTTTTCAATTATTCACGTTTTATGAAACATCGATTAATGAGTTATTTAAATCAATAAAATAATCAAAGATAAAAATAAAATAAATGTTTCACTGTGAATTAAGCGAGTTAACATATCTTGTGTAACAGTTTGTAATGATTATATGCTCCCTTTGGTTCATGTTTCATTCTGTTTTTTTAAAGTCAAAATTGTGACCTTTAGAGTTTATTCAATTCATTTATTGCCTCATGTTTCGCCGGCCATTCCGTGTAATTAATGTGAAACCATTACTGGTAAGACAATTATTTCACTCCTATTATCTATATTTCTAACAATTTATTCGTTTCAGAGGCCCACACGATCATGTAATCCTTATGAGAACAGGCTCTCCAGTACCGGTCCTCGGTAAGTCAACCTTCTCAACATTTTTTTCAACTGATTTCCCTGAATGCTTCATTATTTAGAAATTCTATTAATCTATTAATCAATTTACCATTTACTTGAATTCAATACGTATAGGGGAGGTGGCCGAAAATTTTTGGTTAGTTTGGTTGGAGCTACAACTCTTGGTATTGGTGGTACCATTGCCTATGCAAGCTATGACTCGGATTTTAGGAAACAGCTTAATCAAACTATTCCTTTTTCTGAGGACATTTTAACTCCACTGATTGGAGCACCAGATAGTAGCTCGAGTGTTCCAACCAAATCACCGCTTCCAGAAAAACCTGTCAATAGAAGCGATGAAAGCTTGATGAAGAAAAGACTAGATCGATCTAAAATCAAACTGGACCAAGAGGCTAGCAAGGCTATATCTTCGAATCCTTCCTCATCTTCGTTGTCTCCTCAGACAGCATCAGTTCCTCCACCGCCACTAGATATTCCCGAATCTGAAAAGAAATCTGTAAAAGTGGAAAAACCAGTTAAGCACGAGGACAAAAAGGAAGTCAAGACTTCAGAGCCTACTAAAATCGAAAAACCAGTTGCAGTCGTAGTCCCAACCTCGGTGAAAAATGAATCTACTGACAAAAAGTCATCTGTTAACATAGCATCTAAACCAGAGGTAAATAGTCTTGAACTGATAAAATGTTAAAAAGTGGTAAAATGTTTTAAACTGAAACATAAATTTATTTTTTCGATTAGGATCAAAAATCGGTAAAAAGTAATGTATCACCAATGAAAGATACTAGCTCTGATATTTCTGACGAATTTACATCAACGTTGGCACAACAGTACAGCAAAATTGAAGATCTTGAAGCAGATTTTGAACAGAAGGTATGTTATTACCCATTTTTGCTCAATGATTTCAACCACTAACAATCAATTTCTTCGTCTTTAGATTGATATGATTCGTGATGAATACGAACGAGAGCTAATGAAACAGCTCAAACGACAAGTTGCAGTATATCTTGATCACTTGAATGATCAATTGGAGGTTCAACGAAATGAGATGGAGAGAATACAAAGATTAGCAGAAGAAGACAAAATTTTAGCAATTAAAGATAGATTTTATTCCGAACTTAGTGGAGCTTTAAATAAATTGAATGAAATCGAAAATGTTCTTGCAGGTAAATTTTTTAATTCATCTCTATTTGTAAATTCGTCAATTTTTGAAACATTTTTCTCCATTTTTTATCATAGTTCGCAAAAAGTTGGAAGAAGAAATCGAAGCTAGGAAATTATGGCTTCTCTGTCAATCACTTAAAGACTCCCTAAAGTGTAATGGTCTCAAGGAGCCTACACCTGTGAAGGAAGAGATAAATTCAATGAAACAAACTGTTGAAGCTTTGTCAATTAAAAGCCCAATGACAACATCAATTTTAAACAGCATACCGAATAATGTCATTGAAGAAGGAGTACATAATGAAGATAGTCTTATCGAAAGGTTTCACAAAGTAGACAAACTTTGCAAACGTGTTGCCCTGATTGGAGACGATGGAGGATCTCTTTACCATTATTTTCTGTCTTACCTTCAATCATTGTTGCTTATCGATTCTGTTAAAATTCCTGAACAAGAATTAACTGGAACTGTTCAAATTGATCCTACCCAATGGGATACTTTTGAAATTCTTGCTCGAGTAAAATATTGTCTTGGTCAACGTAACATTGAACAAGCCTTAAGATATGCCAATCAGTTGAAAGGAGCCCCACGCAAAGTTGCAAAAGACTGGATAATAGACACTCGAACCCATTTAGAAGTACGTCAAGCTACTGAATTGCTTCAAGCCTTAGCCGCAACTATCACAATTAGAGCTGTTAAATAATTTATTTAATTGTAATTTTAGATTTCAACAAATTACTATAAAATATATATCTGGTGGTTGATTGAGTGTCTGTAAGAAGCTCATGTAAACTAGTGTCAATTGAAGAAACAAAATTTACGTTAAAACTTAATTTTCATTGTTACTGCCATCTAGAGACTTCAATATTGGCTTGCTGTAACTGTGTTTTGTAAACACAATTTGAATTTTAACATTAAATCTACTGTTTCAAGTTCTGTTTATTTAATTTTTTGAGTTTAATCAATTATTTTAAATTTACTTTAAAACTTGAGACCCTCAACCAATTTCGGCATGGGTTTAATACGGACAACAGTTAAGTAAGTAAAGAGTATTTAAATGCTTTTGCTTTTTGATTGACCATTAGATGCTGAGCATGACTTTGTCCTTTGGTAAATCAATTTGAGATATTTTTATTAGCTTTATTGTTATCAACAAAATAATTTATGCCATGTCTTAATTTTATTTTTACTTATGTAGGTATGGTATACCCTTAGGATTCGTGTTTTGGACTGTCAATGCGGTTGAATGGAAACCAATGGAATCATCGGAAGATTTGAAGAAGTCAAGATTTTTATACAAGGAATTTGAAGCTGCCAAATCAAAAATTTGCCCTTATGTTTCTCCTTACATGCCTAAGATCCCATTAAACAAGGAAGAGCTCACCGAAAGCTGGAACAGAATTGTTAAAATGCCTGCTGAAATCGAAAAACCAGTTGCAGTCGTAGTCCCAACCTCGGCGAAGAATGAATCTACTGACAAAAACTCATCTGTTAACATAGCATCTAAACTAGAGGTAAATAGTCTTGAACTGATAAAATGTTAAAAAGTGGTAAAATGTTTTGAACTGAAACTAAATTTATTTTTTCGATTAGGATCAAAAAGCGGTAAAAAGTAATGTATCATCAATGAAAGATACTAGCTCTGATATTTCTGACGAATTTACATCAACGTTGGCACAACAGTACAGCAAAATTGAAGATCTTGAAGCAGATTTTGAACAGAAGGTATGTTATTACCCATTTTTGCTCAATGATTTCAACCACTAACAATCAGTTTCTTCGTCTTTAGATTGATATGATTCGTGATGAATACGAACGAGAGCTAATGAAACAGCTCAAACGACAAGTTGCAGTATATCTTGATCACTTGAATGATCAATTGGAGGTTCAACGAAATGAGATGGAGAGAATACAAAGATTAGCAGAAGAAGACAAAATTTTAGCAATTAAAGATAGATTTTATTCCGAACTTAGTGGAGCTTTAAATAAATTGAATGAAATTGAAAATGTTCTTGCAGGTAAATTTTTTAATTCATCTCTATTTGTAAATTCGTCAATTTTTGAAACATTTTTCTCCATTTTTTATCATAGTTCGCAAAAAGTTGGAAGAAGAAATCGAAGCTAGGAAATTATGGCTTCTCTGTCAATCACTTAAAGACTCCCTAAAGTGTAATGGTCTCAAGGAGCCTACACCTGTGAAGGAAGAGATAAATTCAATGAAACAAACTGTTGAAGCTTTGTCAATTAAAAGCCCAATGACAACATCAATTTTAAACAGCATACCGAATAATGTCATTGAAGAAGGAGTACATAATGAAGATAGTCTTATCGAAAGGTTTCACAAAGTTGACAAACTTTGCAAACGTGTTGCCCTGATTGGAGACGATGGAGGATCTTTTTACCATTATTTTCTGTCTTACCTTCAATCATTGTTGCTCATCGATTCTGTTAAAGTTCCTGAACAAGAATTAACTGGAACTGTTCAAATTGATCCTACCCAATGGGATACTTTTGAAATTCTTGCTGGCGTAAAATATTGTCTTTGTCAACGTAACATTGAACAAGCCTTAAGATATGCCAATCAGTTGAAAGGAGCCCCACGCAAAGTTGCAAAAGACTGGATAATAGACACTCGAACCCATTTAGAAGTACGTCAAGCTACTGAATTGCTTCAAGCCTTAGCCGCAACTATCACAATTAGAGCTGTTAAATAATTTATTTAATTGTAATTTTAGATTTCAACAAATTACTTTAAAATATATATCGGGTGGTTGTTGAATGATATCAAATTGAATCGAGTCATTTAGATGAAATCACCACACTGATATGGTTGTCATTTTATTCTCAGTTAAAAAATAAAATGATTTTCGAATAAAGTGTTTAAATTAAGTTTTATTGATAAAACTTTTTATTAATAATTTTTCTGCGATCGGGCATAATTGGTCAGTAACAGCAAAAGTAACGATGCTAATTCAAGTAACGCCTAAAAATCAGAGAAAACATCAAAAGTATTACATAGCCGTCAAATAAAAATTATATTTCAATGTAATCTTACCAAAATTAAATTATGAGTTGAATATTGTAATGAACCAAAGATGGTGAAAAAATGTCTATCAACAAAATGATCAATGAACATGAGAAGCGTCAATTTTGTTTTAGGTAAAGCAGAAATGTAAAGTACTTTGTGAAGATTCCGTAACGCTCTGTTTATCTATTTTAATTTTAGGAGTAAGATAGATTTGTAAGATAGATAATTTGCAAAAGTCTATATTGATTACCTTTGATTGTCCATGAATACCAATGAAGAATTGTAAATACTGAAAGAAGATGGAGTTGAAAATTCCGCAAATAAAGAGAGCAATTTTGTACATAATTGAAAATTGATTGAAAAAGAGTAAAAATATAACCATTCCTTGGGCTATAAAGCCATAACTAAAAATCAGAGTGTGTTTGATCTTATAAAATTTATCACAAGCAATCAATTCTTGGTAATGATCAGTCATATGTATTAACAATATTTTCAATTTTTGCTCATTTAATTGAATAGTTGTAGCACAATGATCCAGTAAATCGGGTTCGTTTGATTTCTTTTTGACTTCCATTGTCATGATTTTGATTAACCTGTCGTTCAAAAGCTCCAAATAATCCAACCAAACGTGAACAAATAAGCCATAAATAAGTACAAAATTAACTGAATAACTAACTATGGCAAAGCAACCCCAAGAGTGGGTAATCGCATTAATCATCATGGGTAATCTAAATTGTGGTGGAGCTAAAAGAGCTGATGGAACATTAGCAAAAAGCAGAAAAGCCAATGTAACCAGATAACAATTCAACTGGACTTGACGATAGAAAGATTTGACAATATTTGGATCGACACCAATTTTCTTGTAACGATTTGTGGCCAAGACTTGTCCAATTAGAAGCCAATTATGATCTCCTCGATCGCCAGAGTTTAAAATAAAGTGTAAGTGTTGAATGACACTGCCCAAGCACCATATTGATAGGAGGATTGTCATTGTTTTGCGAGCTGAGCCTAAAATGAAACCAGGATCGCCAAGATAAAAATTGATTGGTGAAAAGGGTGGCAAAAAGTAGAGAATCCAGCATTTAATTACAACTGAAATCAGATTAATGAATGTAGCATAAGAAATAAATGCCATGAATCGAGATGGTTTGCTGGCTATGTAGTTAGAGTAAATTAATTGTGAGCTAAATAGCTGATCCATTGTAGGTAAATACTTTTCAATACGCTTCTTGCGATAACGCTTGAGAAATCTCGAAAGCGATACCATTTCAGAGTTAGTTTCGGCAATCACTTATTACAATTAATAAATTCACAATTTAAAATGATGATAAATCCAGGTGATTAGTATTATTGCTGTTGAATCACGTTAATAAGACATCTAATTTGCTTACAACTCTGGGCTCAAGCAAACTGTTTTAGATTTTAGATTCTTATATTTTAACATGCATACAACTTTGATATGTTTTCACTAATTTGTTAATTTTTCATTTGATTCGTTATTCGCTTGATTCACCATATTTATCTCAGCTATTAAATTGTGGCTCTCACAAAAATTGAGCTTGGAAATACTGTTTAAGCTCGATCACGAATAAGTCTAATTATCTTTAAATTATTGCACGATTCTTCGGAATACTTCATTTATTTTATTATTTGATATTTAATACAGTAAACACTACGTAAACAAATAGGTAAACCATATAGTAAACACTAGAAACCAAAAATTTTCTCTCATAATGTCCAAATCGATTGAGTAAATTTGCAGAAAAAAAACATTAAAAAGGTCCAAGCTAAAGACGAAGAGATAGCTCAACAATTTAAAAGACTGGATATAATTTTATTCAAAATTATTTAGACACAGAAATTAATGTGTCATGCACATCAATATTTGATGGTCTTGCTGCTTAGAGTAAACAAAATTACAAAAAACTTAATGTTAGCTCGAGGAGTTTCAAAGGCGACTTATTTACCAAAGCCAAGATAAAACATTGCACATAACCTTTCCGACACACTGTCTACTAAATTAGAGATGCTCATGAAATGATCATGTTACCTTTATGTTTCTGTGCAATGAAAATAAAAAAGTATTCAATTTTTCGATTTTATTTCAATGAAATTCATTTTCAATCATTATAAATATAAAAGTATTGCAAAATCAGGGAACATTGAATACATTTGTGATTGTACTGTCTTTTTCAATATAACCAAATTGTCTTTTAAAAATGCCATATTAAAAATGTAAATACATGTGAATTGAAGTAAGATCAAATTTTATGCACAGAACCATCTTTCTCGGCATAATAAACAACGTTTGCCATATTTATAAATAATCCAGTATCAATAATCCCAGGTATCATCATTAAAGATTGATTGATTTCATCCCAAGGCATCTGAGAATCCTCTTTAAATGTAAAGTCCCAATCCAGAATGAAATTTCCATTATCGGTTACTAAAGGTCCAGCTTTTGCTTTGGCCATTCTTAAATTAGCTTCTCCACCGAAAGTAAATTCAATCTTTCTCTTCACGACAACATGAGATATTGGAGCTACTTCGATGGGTATTCCTTTTTTCCATTGATCACCCAACTGTCCACTTATTTTAGTGTAATCACATATGATTGCTAAGCTCTTGGATGCCGAGGCAACTATTTTTTCTTGCAAAAGACAACCACCACCTCCTTTGATACAGTACTTTGTTGATCTTTCCACCTCATCGGCTCCATCGATGGTCAAATCAAGCTCGGGACAAATTTCAAGATCATAGAGAGGCAAATTATGAGCCAAAATAAGCTGACGAGCCTGTCAAAAAAGAGAAATATCAAAGTTAGCGATTAAAACAATCCCATTTCAATATCAAATTATGTGTGTCTAGTCATTCGAATCAAAAATCTTTTTGATAATCAATTTCATGAAAATGTTAAAAAGGTTCCTTGAATTTTCAACATAAAATACCTTTCACCAGAAAGTAAACATTAAACATAAAATCTTTATCATAAGACCACAGCCACATAAGTAAATGTAAGAACGATATCAATGTCACAATCATCTGATGTTCAAAAACACGGAAAAACAAACATGCTGTAACCATTCACGAGCATATGATCCAATCAGTTATTTAAGATAATTTTTCCTCATTCTTGTGATTGAGACAGAGTAAATTTATATACAAATTTACCTGAAAAGATGTTGGTACACATTTGATCTTTAAATTTGACTGTGCCACTTTTTCAGCAATCCTGGTCACTGCTGGAATAATTGTTGAACCACTTCCAATTCCTAGCACCATATTGTCCTGTTAATCAAAGATGACAATAAATAAAAACGAAAACCAGAAATAAATGTAAACAAAATACCTGCAATAAGTCATCAACAGCAGCGTAAGCCACAATCTTTTTAGCCTCATCGATGGGCACCATTTCTCGTGTTTTACTGCGTAAAGATGAAGGGGATAATTTTTTAGTAATCGCCTCAAACATTGTGGATAACAAGGTGTAAAATGGGCTTAAAAGAATTTAATTAAATTAACTTTGAAAAGGAATAAAAAAGGAAGGATAAAATGGAGGAAAAATAATGAGTCTACCGTTAGTATTGAAAAGACAACAGTAACCGGAAAAAGGTCGATTGATTCAAGAAGATAATTACTTTAAACTGACAATCAAAAATTATACTTTTAAAAAACAATTAACCAATTCTTAACCAGTAAATATTAACAATAATAGTGTTGATAAAACATAACAAATGTCGAATTGAATATGTTTTCACTTCAAACAGACAGTCTCAGATTCCTTTCAGCCATTTAATCAAAGCTCTTTAGGTTTTTTCATCTTCTTGTAATTGCCTTCTTCCCTGATCATTAATTTATCATTTTAATCTTAAATAATCAAATAAAAGCAATCAAATTGATCTAATCGTCCCTTTTTATCACATTTCAAAAATCTTTCTACATTTTCACGGCTCTTGTTATCTTGTGACTTTGACTATCTTAATTGCTTTCTTTCATACGACATGACCTTTTTTGAACAAAGCTACAATTGCCAGAATAACAATAAACATAGAAAAGATTCAGAACAAGTCCATTGATAACAATTTACCAAAAAAATATGAGGCGAGGTTAAGTTTCGTTCTTACCTTTTGACTCTGAAGCTCCAAGTGGCTTTGCTTATTGAAACAATACAAATTCATATAATGATTAAGGGCATATAATTAATGAAAAATAGCATTAACGACGAACAGAATAAGTCAAAAAGTACAATTTGTACTCTTTGCAATAAGTATACTTCGATTAAACTTGAAATCTAACTTCATTGACCTGTTTTGAGCTCGTTAATAACGAGTCGTTATCAATCCCGTTAACATGAACTGCTTTTTTGATAATAAAACAAATATAACAGGTGTTTATCTTCAACAGATTAATTGTTTGTCTAATTAAGTTTTATTTCATTTCTGCATTCTGATTAAATCCTTTTCCTATTTTTATTTGGCGCTATTTGATGAATTATCAAACATTTTATTATTGGAAGATTTGAAAATGGCGGTAGCTATTAATATCGATGTATCGATTTGTTGAAATTTTGTTTCACATTAAGTTGCCCTTGTTGAGTTATCCTGTATTCACCGAGTTTTTGTTTATTTGGGTCTGACCTTTTTTCTCGGTGATAAACTGTTAATTTAATAATCATCATGTCGTCTACTATTTTAAGAAATGCCCCACGGTTGGTTCAAACATTGAGCAAGAACAACCAAAGTTTACGATTCGGTCTCAAAAATCGTAAAATCTCTGCTATTCCTACCCGTGAAATCTTGGTAAATTACCCAGAAACCAGAGTCACTGAATTAAGCAATGGAATCAGAGTTGCCACTGAAAATTCTGGGCTCAAAACAGCCACTATTGGTGTATGGATTGATGCTGGTTCCAGGTATGAAACCCCTGAAACAAATGGTGTTGCACACTACTTGGAGCATATGGCCTTTAAAGGCACAAATAAACGCAGTCAAACTGATTTAGGTAAGATATTTGCAATATATCAATTTGTAAATTTGTCTATTAATTGGAAATAATATTAATTTGATGTTTATTGTACTAATTTAGAGTTAGAGGTTGAGAATATGGGAGCCCATTTAAATGCCTATACTTCCAGGGAGCAGACCGTGTATTACGCTAAATGTCTATCTAAAGATGCCCCACATGCTCTAGAAATTATTTCGGACATTCTCCAAAATTCCAAATTAGGAGAAGCTGAAATTGAAAGAGAAAGATCAGTTATTCTCAGAGAAATGCAAGAAGTCGAATCAAATATGCAAGAGGTTGTATTCGATCATTTGCACGCTACAGCTTACCAAGGTACACCTCTGGGTATGACAATTTTGGGACCCACTGAAAACATCAAAAAGATAAATAGACAAGATTTGTTGAACTACATTGAAGGAAATTACAAAGGTCCTAGAATGGTTATTGCTGGAGCTGGTGGAGTTGATCACGATGAATTGGTTAAATTGGCTGAAAAATACTTTGCCAATGTCAAGGTTACTTATGATGGAGTGAAGATACCTGAATTGACTAACTGTCGTTTCACCGGTAGTGACTTCAGAATAAGAGATGATGACATGCCATTCGTCTATGGAGCTTTTGCAGTTGAAGGAGCTGGTTGGGATAATCCTGACAACATACCTCTTATGGTTGCTAATACAGTGAGTATCGTTTCAACATTGTAACACACTAATGACATAAAATCTTATCTAAATCAAATGAAAAACATTGGATAACCGATTTTAATGAAATTTCATTAAATTTACTGCATCTTTCTCAATACAGATTCTAGGATCCTATGATCGGGCTCAAGGTGGTGGCAATTCAGTTACATCAAGATTTGCTCAACACGCAGCTGAAGAAAATCTTTGTGCATCTTATCAATCATTCAACACCTGTTACAAAGATACCGGTTTATGGGGTGTATATTTTGTTGCTGACCGTCTTAAAGTCAATGATTTTACCATGGAAATGTGCAAAAACTTTGATTTATTAGCTACTGCAGTCAGCGAGTCAGATGTTACTAGAGCTAAGAATATGTTGAAGACTAACATGTTGCTCCAGTTAGATGGTACTACACCTATCTGTGAAGACATTGGACGTCAAATGTTATGCTATGGACGAAGAATACCTATCGCTGAAATGGAAGAAAGAATTAATTCAGTCACTGCTTCAGATGTAAAGAAAGTGATGCAAACTTATGTTTATGATCAAGATCCTGCTGTTGTAGCCATTGGACCTGTCGAAGCTCTTGCTGACTACCCAACCTACAGAGCTTGGATGGCTTTCTGGAGGTTCTAAGGTCTCATTAGCATCTTTAATTTAGATTTAATTGTACAAACAAGCAAAGCAAAATAAGTCCTGATGGTGAATCGTTAATAAGAATAAAAATCATTCTTGTTTATTTTCAAACTCTCAATACTTTTATAAATCGGTTTTCATATCGTTCAATCCCAGTTCCTCGTTTTGTTCGAATGTTCTTTCATAATGTTCAATATTCGTGGCACCATAGACAAAACTGTTGCCACAGGGGTCATCTAAAATAAGCGTTAACCCAATAGGTGCTTTGAGTCTTTCAACAAGACTCATCATTTTTTCTTTTTTCTCCGCCTGAGCTGAATCTCCAGTAACGAATGGGTTAGATTTTTCCAAACCCTCTTTAACTTGTTCGATCAAACCTTCAATTGTAGTGTATTTGCCTGCTTCAGTACAACCAATGTCTAAGTCTAATTCAGGAATAGTTAAGGAGCACGTCTCAGATCGAACAACGTCTCGTTTCAAATCTTCCTCTCCTTCAATAGGCAACACGATTTTGACCCCCTTTTCACTGATTCCTTGGCCACTTTTAATTTCGGTAGTCTTGTACCCACATGCTTCACAATTAGTAGCCATAAGAATAACATCTTTGAAGTGTGGTATATTTGTGAGTTTCATGTTAGTGAAGCAAATAGCACCACACGAATAACAATTGGTTCGAAATTGCAGGACTTCATCTTTAAGATCAGTTTCACTTGGTTCAGGTTGTTCTTCCTCAATTGAATAAATACCGAGAGTTTTGTTCTCATCTATAGATCTTGTGTAAAAAATAATATCCATTTGTGGATCGGGCTTCGGAGCCAATGGATTCTCAATGAAACTGTTTCCAGAAGGATCCGTAACGACTAGAGTGAATTCTTGGTTCAATTCTTTCAATGAACCGAGTTTAGTAATGAAGTCGGTTAGTTTGGTAACAAGTTCAGGTTGATCAGCATTGACTTGACAAGTGTGCCTAAGTCCATCTATAGCTCTGTCAATGAGCCCTTCAACTGTGGTAACCAGACCTGGTTGACGACTCGCTTGAAAACTTAATTCAGGTATACTGAGTTCAGCATAGTCAGATTTAACAACTTGTCGATCCATGTCAATTGGAGTCTTGACTTTCAACCGAATATTGATACCTTTCTCTTGAATTGTTGATGCAGGTTGAAGCTCGTTGTTACAATAACCACAGTTGTCACATGAAAACGACATGATGATAATTTCTCGGAAGAAAGGTATTTTCGTAACCATAAGTTTTGTTATACCATTTTGGCGACAATTAACACACAAACTTTCAATTTCGTCAACTTCAGGTCTTTCCGATAGAGTACCCATTTTATTGAATGGTTCCGTAGAATTAACAAGTAAAGGTAAAAATCAAAAAATAGTTTTAAAAACCAATGTTTTCGAATAAGATTAACAATTATTATTTTTAAAGCACAACAATATCACACTATCTTTCACTTCACTACAGGTCCTGAAGTACAGGATTTAACTCACAGATAAAAAGAGCAAGTCCAATGCAGATACTGCGAAAACGGCACAATCGATAAGATAAAAGAGGGAAATTTGAAATGTGAACATTGATTATTGCATTAAGAGGATAAGATTACTTTTCAAAAGTAATACAGTAACTTATTCTCTACCTTAATCATGTTTGATTAATCTGTATAGTGATTCCTTGTATACTTTAGTAAACATTCTAGTTAATTGTGTCAGCATTATAACCAAACTGAAAATAATCTAATTAATTTTGAAAGCTACTCAATTTATCAGAGCATTTAAATTTACCAATTTTCAAGATGTTAGCATAGAAATGAATTAGAAATTGATTTTATTGATTCCATACCGAAGAGTCAAGGTTACTAGTTTTGGGTAAAAAACTTCCGTAAATCAATTGTAAAGCAATTTGGAGACGAAATTTTCATTTGACAATTTAATTTCTCCTCTGTATTTAACAATGATTTATCACAAATGAAATTAACAATCAACAAAGAGAAATTGAAAAACTGGTTCAAGCGTTTGTTTTTCAAGATACAAAAAAGAAGGCAATTTACACTAAAAACGTCTAATTACACATTGACAGTTGCGTTGTTTGGTTTTGGCTTGGATATATCAGTTTCAAGTCAAAAAAGTTACATTGATACACAAAATTACAAATTTAAAACAGTTACAACATTAATCTATGTATAATACAATAAGAAACAGGTAAATGATAAAATTACAATGAAGAAGAGCATGAAAAATAAGACGATGCTTTAAGCAATTTCAAAGGCGCTCTTAGATTCTTGCTTTTGGCAAAATTCAATGTTGATTACAATGATGATGTTCGATGATATCAATATGAAAATGTTTCAAATGACTGTTAATTTTGTCGAAAATTGCAATTCATAAAAAAAGGGGGGACAGATCAATAGGAATCAAAGAAAAGACTGAATTTGACAATTGAAAATTGTGAACACAATGGGCACGTTGATTGAATGACAAAAAAAGATATGCAATGAATCAGTTATATGACAATGAAAGGTTGGCCATTGATCATACGAAACCAGTAAATTAATTAATTATCTTGTGCGTGTTATCATTCAGTATAAATTACAATTAATGAGCGTCTTTCATCCAGTTTAGCTTTAGTATTGGTCAGTGACTAGTAATGATGGAGGACAAGATTATGCTTTGTCTTTGATGTAAGGAAGATGAAAATGTAAGCAGATTTGGCAAGGAGAGTAGAGTTTGTACGCAGAAATTAGTTAATCAACCAATTTGATGATAAATTTTGCTTTTGAGATTCAATTGTTTAAAGACATTTGTTAATTAAAGCTCCAAATTTCAATGAAAGTGTTCCAAAAAAGCATATGGAATCAGGTTTGAGTTTTGATCCATCTTTTGCTTTCTGAGGCTTCTTTTATTTTGCTTGATTTACCAAATTTTTCTGGTCCAATTATTCAAAGCTATTATTTAATAACATGAATGATGATCGACGAATATCAAATTCATTTTTTGATTTCTCCCGAACAACAAATTCAATGTGATCCTGTGGACTGTTATAATAAGCCGTTGCTATCATTTGGGCAATTTGTTCATGACTTAGATTGGCTGTAGATTGTCCGTCAACCTCCAAAATTATGTGACCAACATGAAGATCACCGGTATCAAAGGCAGCTCCTGAACTCTGAAATAATAGAACAAAAAAGGTAATCATTAATAAAGATTGAAATGAGATCATTCAAATTATTCTAGTCACTAAATTAATCATCTTCAGTTTAGCAACAAAGTAATCAATATGCAATTATAATACAAGCTGACAACAATAGCTGTTATGGTTACTTGACTTGTCCTACGACTTTTAATGTCCAACAAGACTATAAATATTACAGTTAATTTATCATCATGGTAATGATTAAAAAGAGAAGGAATGTGTCCAATAACATGATCGATTTAATTGAATTGTGAATATGTTAATTGAGCAGCTATCTGATTAACAATGCAGGGACAAATCATGCTCAATCAATTCATCTGAAATGATTCTTTTGTGATTCAAAGTATCACAAAAGGTAGACACAAAACATTATCATTGAATCATAAAAAGCTTATGTTTACAACACATTTAAGTCCAATTGATTAACAGACATTATAACATACAAGTAAAGTTAGTCAATAATAGCAAGAATTAACAATTCAACAATTAAATGTGTTTACAACCAGCAAAAATTGTAAGAATTGTAAAAATTTAATGTTACCAAGGAGAAGCAACTTTAAATTGCTCCATTTAAATATAACTGGATCACCTTTTTAATGGTCAATTAAATAGACAACAAAGTTTACATTTACAAAAGTCCATCTTTGATGAGCTTAGTAACCAGTTTTTGTTTCATTTGTTCAACCTTTAACCAGATTTCAGTGAATCTTATTGTGTTGGTAAAAATGGAAAATTTAAATCAAAATAGATTGACTGATTTATTTGAAGCAAAGAGGATCAAGAAACATTTCAAAGTTTAAAATGAAACCGAGGCCAGTTAAAATAGCCAATTCCTAACGGAATGTAACTCAGGAAGGAGACCAGGAAGATAAATAGGAAGATGACGATGATGACGATAAGAAGGAAAAATGGGTCTAACAAGATGAGGAAAAGTTTTCTTCAGGATTTTCTGAAAAGGAAACTTGAATGTAATATTTGTTTTTTTTGGATAACAAGCAACAATCCTTTTGCAAGGAAACCTGGATATTGTTCTTAGTTGAAAGATTTTTTGGTGAAAAAAAAACTGGAGCCAACTAGGGACTCACGAAGAGGATGAAAAGATGAAATGAAAAGGTTAGTTTGCTCAGAATTTTGATGAAAAAAAAGTATCTACACATCATGAAGTTATGAGGAACTGATTCAGCAAAGGAAAAGGATTTTTTACTTTTCCTTTGTATTCCTCTTTTTTGTTCACTAAGTATTGTTATTATTGAAGATGATGGTGAAATAAAGTAAAATGCACTTGAAAAGAATCATTGATCTTTTAAAATTTCATTTGATTGTTGACAATTCAAACATTTACAATTCAGTGTGGTTTATTTTGGGTGAAAAAAGCCAAGTGAAAAGTGACTAACGAGAGATCATTTGAATGTAAATCATTACCAAAGATGACCATTTTAAACATGACTGCACATTCAATGGTCAATATTGAAAGCCAATTCACTTTTGTTGGGTTCAGTAATGATTTACAATTAAACTTGAGTAAAGATCTTGAGAAGATGAAAAAAGATGAAAGCAAAATGATAATTGCAATTTTTTACAGATAATCGGAAAAAAAGTATTGAATACTATAAATATTGACACAACAATCTAAACATGTATTAATAAATTGTATGCAGTTGTAAACAACAGGGTAACATGATAATAAAAGAGTTGAAAGAACAAAAAAAATAGAGAAGAAAATCAAATATTATTTTGTTGATTTTACTTTTCCTATTATTTTTAAAGTTCAACCTTTTAAACCCATTTTTCACTGGTCAGCTTGTAATACAATGTTAACCAAGAATCAACAATAATTCATTATACTCAAACTCAGTTATCATGTATACTGATCAAATTAGGCTCTTGGTTACAATTGAAGCATTATTATATCATTATCTGAAAGGTTGTTTGCAAAATTTAAGAGTCAATTCAAGTTTTATCTGAGTTTCATGCTTTCTCTGGTTCAAGCTTAATGTTGCAGATTAACCCAAAAGTTTCAAGGCAAGTTATTATGATGCTGAAATAGCATCACGATTTACTCAATTTTTCAGCAAAACTCGAAACCCAGGTTAAGCACAAACTAGTTAATGATACTGTTAGCCGGCAATCAGTTGATTGAGTTGGTATAAAGTACATTTACTTTGGATTAATCTGGTTGAAAGTTTAACTCATAGATTTTCAGTTCAACTGATTTCAATTGATGATTCAAAACTAGTCAAGAGTGAATTCAAAAAGATGGAATCATTTTGGTGATGTTTCCATGTAAAAAAAACATTCATTTCAATCTCCCTTTTCTCTGGAATCTTATTAATTTTTTCAAGGCAAACACATTCTTTTGTAATTTCATGATCATGAATGTAAACATTTTCTTTGCCTATTAAATTTGCAAGGTAAAACCAAGTTTCCCAAAATTTTCATGGAAACTGGGAGTTATTATTATCATGCATTTGCTTTACTTACACTCAACTATTAGAAACATTTTACATTTTTGTATTTATTTAAACTTTCATTAGCTGTCATTACTAATTGTAAACTCTAATAGGTTCAAGTAAAGTTACTTGAATTATCTTCGGTTTACTGTTAATTAAAACTTGAAACAATCAATTTCCAAATGAGTTTTAAAACAGATTTATATGATTTGTTATCAACAATTAAATTTAGATTTAATTTTTGCCAATCCTTTTTTAATTGAAAGCCTCAAGTTCACCTTAACTTGCTAATTGTTGACTTATTAACAGCTAAATCAATGGATCACTTTGCTCGACCCATTAACCTTAAATATTGATTTAGCTCATCTTTACTCAATTAATTTCTCGTTTTCTTGCTTAAGGTAATTAGGATTGATTTAGTTGGATTTAATCAAGGCCAAGTTAAATAAGGTTTCAGGATATTAGTTAATTCATCAACTGGACAATCAGATTGATTAATTGAAATAATCCATATGTTTACCAAACAAGGTATTGATAAGAGTGTAAAATAATGAATCTGAAATTGTTTATTCAACTCATCTGAACTTATTGACAGCAATTTTGTTCATCTGATCATTTAAAGATAAATAAATGACGGTAAGGATGATTAAGTAAATTATAATCATTAAATCAACATGATTAAATCTTATTATTGGCAGTTTTCGAGTTATATTCAGTTGAGCATTTTAATACTGAATCATGAATCAAGTCAAATAATCTCATTATTTATAGTTAACCTTGAAAGAATACCAATTTTAGCTCAATAAGAATCAGTAATCAACTATCAATTAATGATCAACTTTTTGATAATCAATTGCAATTGGTTAAGGTTGGGTTTAATGTCAATAGAAGATGTAAATAACCAAATTACAAACCTAAATGACTTTTTTCTGGTTAACTTTTCAAGAAAATTAAATGTAAATGGTAAATAACAATCAAATAGTGAAATGATGATCAAATGAAAGCTTCAAAATTGTTTCAGGCAAACCTTCAAATCAATGAACTTGAAAAATCAAATAGCAATTGAACTTATGTTTTGATCAGTTTAGTCGCAATCTATAAATGATGAGCACTGAATAATCGATGAAAATACGTTTATTTTTAGCTTGATTAATGAATAAATTGGGAATTATTAACTGGCAAAGTCTTACAAGGGAAGTGAGGTAAGTGGTACGGTTAAAATCGGATAAAAAGTGTATAATTCTATTGATCATGATGAAAATAGTTGGTTACCGTACAAAGTTGAGAACGCAATTGTCCTTTTCTACCTCGAAATCCGATCATTGCTTTTCAAAACGCATAAAGCCATAGTGAATAAAATCATAACTTTTCAACAAATTCAAAAGTTTAGTTCTGAGGTAAGTTACACAATTTCAACTTATCGCTATGGCTTTATGCGTTTGAAAAGCAATGA